CATCATGATCCCCTACAGACCAAACAAGGTGTCGGTGACCAAGAGGGGGCAGGAAGCACAAAGGGGGTAAAGCCAAAACAATTATTTTGTTTTGGAAACAAAGAAATATTTAACAGAAATCAGAATGAGGGTATCTGCCCTGAGCTTGTTCAGTTTTTATTTCCAAGTTTCTTTGGGCTCCTGAAACACCTTTTGGTACCTGAAATGCCATGCTTATTACAGCTATCATCCCCTTAGGGGGATGATATCCTTGATCCTGAAAGAAAAATCCCATGGGACTGACAGATTGCTCTGAGAAGGAAGTGCCCTTCTCACTTGCTCTTCAAAAGCAACCAAGATAAACTAACCTGCACAGCTACATCTACAGAACATTCAGTCAGATTTTAAAACCTCAGTTTCCATCAAACCCTTCTGCAATATCCAGAGCTGTTGTAATCCAGATGGGTCTGGCATTCCCATAAACTCACACCTTCCAGAACAGGTATCAGCTCTCTGCTTCTACAACATCTAAGACAACTCTATCCAAGTTCCTGACTAAGGCTTATCAGCAAATGTACTGAAAGCAGTAAGCAATATTGTTTAGAATTCTTGTTTTCACCCTAGATTCCCAGAGGAAACAACAAATTTGGAGGCTCACTTGGCCGAATCACATTGTTGTCAACACAAATTTCTCCTAGTATATACACAGCATTTGGACTGAGCACTGACAAATTCAGCTTTGCTAGAGGTGACAAATGACTGCAAAATCCTCACGTCCAACCTGCCCGTTCCTATTTTAACCTCCTGATGTCTTTTGTCACAGACAATGGAAAAGACTGCCATGGTCTGTTTTGGGGGGGAGCAGGAGCCGCGGAGCTGGGCCGCTGCGGCAGGAGCGCAGAGGCGGGCGGAGGGGATGCAGCGCCGCGCAGCAGAGCGGCAGTGGCGCCCGCTGGCCGCTCGCTGCATTGCCGGCGCATCCCTCCTCCGCCCCGCCTCGAAGAGTCACCCACACAAAATGCCTCTGCCGAGGAGCACGCCGGGCTACCACGGCACAAGAAGCCCAGGGATCTGCGGGCACAGCCCATCCCACAGGGATGCAGGTAGGACCACACAATCCAGGTCAAAAAGGTCGTCTGCGGTGAATACTTTATGGGTGGAGACGCGAATCTTGACTCTATGTTTCAGAAGGCTGGTTTATTATCTTATGATATATATTATATTGAAATGCTATACTAAAAACTATGCTAAAAGAATAGAGAGAAAAGGATTCATCAGAAGGCTAGAAAGAACAAGAAATGGAATGAATAAAAAAGACTTGTGACTCTCGAGAGTCCGAGTCAGCTGCATCTGTGATTGGCCATTAATTAGAAACAACCAAAATGCACCAATCACAGCTGCACCTGTTGCATTCCACAGCAGCAGATAGTTATTGTTTACATTTCTCTCCTGAGGCTCCTCAGCTTCCCAGGAGGGAAAAATCCTAGCAATGGATTTTTCATAAAATATCATGGTAACATTCATCTCACATCCTTATCTTCTCTTTGTATTTCTACCCTGCCCAGCTTCCACCCTCTGCAAATATATATCCAAAGGGTAACTAATAACCTCCTCAACAGGAATAGAAGTCATCTCAGATAAGATACCAGCGCAGCCATCCTGGGATATCAACACAGTGAAACACATCCTCTGCACCTGTTAATGAACAGCCATTCATACTTCACAGCAGTTGAGACAGCTCCATCAGAAACCTGTAATTCAGTTACGACCTCTGCATTAATGAAGAAAGCACAGAGGTGTGCAGAGTCATGTCTCACCACATGGAAATGTGGCCCAAGCACACTGAATCAAGAATAAAAAGCAATATGCAGAACCACACTGTCCTCCATGAGAGGAAGCAGAGGGGCAGGGGCTGATCTCTCTGGTGATCAGCAATAGGACCCAAAGGCATGTAATTAAGTTGTGTCAGGGGAGGTTTAAGGTGGATATTAAGAAAAGGTTCTTCACCCAGAGGGTGGCTGGGCACTGCAACTGGCTTCCCAGGGAAGTGGTTACATCACCAAGCCAGGTGGGATATGAGGATATGCAGATTGATATCAATGACAGCAGATACCTGAATACATTAATTGACTTTAGTAAGGGAAATCTGAAGCACCAAATTAAAAGGAAAAACAAAAAGTTTGGAAAACAAGTTCAGGGTCACTGAAGTCAAACTTGTGAGCCACAGACTTTTTGCAACTTGGGAAAAAGTTCCTACTTAGGTCCAGCTTTGAATTAATCTTTTGAAGATGTCAGGCTCATTAATGAATCATTATTGCTGTGGCTTATCACTACCCAAATCCATGTAAAGCTTAATTTGGAGTAAGAATAAGCAACCCCTCTGCTACTTCCTTGCTATTTTCCCTCCAGCAGAAAAATTTGTTTATAAATTTTGTTAATAACCGAAGTTATTAACAAGACTTTCTTTTTCTGACCTGTATTGTTAGGGTTGGGAGATGCAGCCACCAAAAACCCCCCTGATAAAACCAAATTGAAAGTCACAAGTCAGACCATAAAAGATACTCCAGCATCTTGACAATTTAAATGGATTATTTGGAGGCAATTATTAACTCAAACAGCAGCTTTTTCACCAAGACTGAATGTCCAAAGGATGAAAATTTATTTTTGCAACTCAGTGTGGATAAGGTGACTCAAACATCTGGACATGAGTGTGAGATTCACATTTTTTGAATTTGAAAGAAATAGTGAGAGAAGTAGAGAAAAGAATGATTAAAATAATTTTTATATTGTATTCTACTTTGATACAAACACAGGTGTAGTAAATGAGATAAGAATTGTTTTGATCATTCTTTTCTCTGCTTCTCTCTCTGCTTCTTTGAGGTTCAGAGAATGTGAATCTCACATGAGAGCCACACAACAGAACATGCCACAGGCTGTGGTACACAGCTATCTGTGGGTGGTGCTGAAGGATTAGCAGCACCAGCCAGCAGCAGAGCACGAGTTGCTTTTACCATTCCAGTCAAAATGCTCTTTTTCTCTCCATCTTGCAGCACATGGCCCAGTCCCTTGAGGAAATGGGAGGGCAGAGAGATGTTTTATCTGTTCTGTCTTCCCCACCTTACATCTGCCCATTCTTCCACTCGTGGAGCTCTATGCTGTTCCTCAAGGCACAGATGTGAAGGACATACCAAGATGAGCCAAGCTTCTTTAAGTTAAGCTTTCCTCAGATTCACCTCAGCGCATTCAAGCAACAAAATGTGCAATTAACTAGAAAAGAAGTGGATTTTAATGGCTTCACCAGTAGCCAGGGCCACTCAAACTACTGGATAGCACTACTAGTGTCTCCATTTACACCTGTAAATACAGAACAGTGCACTGGGTTTGCATGGCAAGGTTTTGGCAGTGGGAGGGCTACAGGGGCAGCCTCTGGGAGAAGCTGCCAGAAGCCTCCCCTGTGTCTGACAGAACCAATGTCAGCCCACTCCAGCACGGACCACCACTCACCAAGGAGGAGCCCACTGGCAGTGATGGTAGTGTCTGGGGTAACAGATTAAAGGAGAAAAAAAAACCAAAAGCAATTGCAGCCAGAGCGGAGTGAGAGAGGAACAGATCTGCAGGTACCCAGGCCACTGCAGCAGAAACAGGAGCTGCTACAGGCACCTTTGGGAGACTGAAATTGTAAGGGTTAATGATGCAAACAATCAGCCTTTTCAAAAGCAGCTGATGAGGTGCACAACTTTAAACCAGCTTTTGTTTAGCAACAAACTGTTTTTGAGCCAGATGAGGGAGAAGGGCATTAAGAAGCAGATCCTTCGAGATGGGAATACGCTTTTTATAATGCAAACACCCTCCCTTACACCACTGGCAGAGATGTAAAACTCCTCCTCCCTTCCCCCTATCCCCTGGAAGGTACTGGGACATTCACAAGCACACATAGACATGACAGCATTCATTCCTGGCTCAGCTAGGATGATGTGAGGCAGCTGTCATGGCTTGGTCATAAACCATCAAAAACCCCAGAAGAACCCCCAGACCCATTTAGGGCCTGGACTGCACACGACCCACGCTGTTACATCAGACACTGGAAACCCCACCCCCTTCAGGGGAGGAACCTGGGCATTCATTCCCACCACACCTGAAGGTACTCACCCAGCGAACTTTTGTTTCAGAGGCTCCTCCACCTCCCACAGACCAACACTGTGACCATCACCTAGACTAAGGGACACTGAAGTCACCCACAATCAAGTCTTTGTCACTGGATCCCTGGGTGGTGGTATTTTTTGTATTTTCCTCTTTTTTACCCATTATTTGCTTATATATGTATTTTTTATATTTTTATGTTGCTATTTCTATAGCTGACCAAAACAGCTACATACCTCGATTCCACTGCAACCAAATGATTCTAGAACAAATCTGCCATCCCAGTCCTACAGCCCAGGAGGGCTCCATGCTGAAGCAGGGCTGTCCAAAGGAGGCTGTGACACTGTAGGAAGCTTTAGTGCAGCAGGCCTGTGGCAGGACCTGTGCCTTGCAGAGAGAGGAGCCCATGCTGGGGCAGGTTTGCTAGGACTTGACTCCATGAGGGACCCACGCTGCAGCAGAGGAACTGAGAGGAGCCCTCCCTCTGAGGAAGCTGGAGCAGCAGAGTCAGCATGTGATGGACTCAGCCCCCATTCCTCATCCCCCTGTGCAGCTGCTGAGGAGGGCAAGAAAATCAAGAGTAAAGTTGAGGCTGGGAAGAAGGGAGGGGTGATTGGAATTAACATTTGGTTTTATTTCTCATTATCCTACTCTGATACAACTGGTAATAAATTAAACTGGTTTCCCCAAGTCAGGTCTGTTTCGCCCATGACAGCAGCTGGTGAGGCATCTCTCCCTGCCCTTATCTCAACCCACAGACCTTTCATTCTATTTTCTCTCCCTTGTCCAGTAGAGGAAGGCAGTGATGGTGCAGCTTTGGTGGACACCTGGCACTCACCATACATAACAGACAGGACTTTTTGCAGAAAAGACAAAAATTATTCCACGCCATCATCACCCTTTTATTGATAAAAGGACAGATCTTGACAGTGCAGAAAAAAGGATGTTTCACAAGGAGAACAGGAAGTAGCTTCTACTGGTCTTTCAGTTCCTTCAGTCTTCTGATGGCAGATTTGACTGTCACTGCAGAGGTGGTACTGGAGGAAGAAGCAGAGTCATTAGAATGTGGCAGAACGACGGTGCTGGTGTTGTTTATTTTTGAGAAAGCACTTCTCACTTCAAACTGTTATCATCTGACTGTGCTGTCAAACAGGGTCTAACTCCACTTTTACTTTCCCGACAACAAAGCGTAGGCCTGGGTCCACAAAGCACAGGAACTTCACAGGCTACACCCCAACCCAAACCTCCCAGTCATGCACCCACCACGTGCACCAGCGTGTGGGCTCAGATCCCTCACGACTGCTACGCGTGGGGCAGGAGTGTCCTCTACAGAACTGTGGGGGAAGGAGCAAGGATGGGGAGTAAGCAACAGCACCCTCACAATAAAGGTTATTTATAATTCCATTTTTTTTGCTTTTACAACGAAAGGAAAACATGAAAATAACTTTTCTTGGAATAAATCTGGCTTTGTCTATTGCAAAGAATAGCAATCAAATTGACTTTGATCCACAGCAATGAAATTTTACAGAACAGGCAACTTCCCCCATCACTATCTCAAGACAGATCTACTTAATGATCAGTAGATCAAAATTAAAAAAAAAAAAAGAAGATAAAAAGTCAAAAGCTGTATTATGCTACAGCTATGTGAGAATAAATACTGATTGGAGCTTCTTCATTTCCTTACTTGTAAGTCCAGGCACCACCAGCAACTGTCTTCATGCAGGATCCACAGTGCCAGATACCCACAGCCTTCCTCTTCATTTTGGTCTGGAACAGAAGAAAAAAGGAAAAAAATAAAGTCACTCTCCATCAGCTGAAAAAGCCAAACAAGAAACTTCAGGCAAGGCCTTCACAGCACTCCTATAAGCCAAGTTTAGACAAGAAAGGGACAGGCAATGCTTTTACTCAAATTCTGCAGACGCTTCTGAAGCACTTTCCTATTCCGATATGAACCGGATCATTTCCCAAGGCATAATCAAAACTTCAGCTTATTTTGAAGGAGAAAAATAGCAAGGAGCTACCTTGGTTATAACAACTGATATTCTCACTGGTTTGGTGCTCAGGTAACACCACTGTTCCCAGGACCCCCCCTGGCAAGCCCAGCCTGCTCAACCCAGACCCACTTCCAAGAGCATCTGAAGAGTGAGTGGTGGGTACAGAACTCCCTCCCCCAGGCAGGGATCCCTCACCTTGCAGAGGTGACAACAGGCTTGCCCACACCTATGCCTGATTTAGGCAGCTCTGCAGACAAGACTATCAACATTCTCACTTCATACATGAAAGGCACCAAGTTAAAAACAAACAAAAACCCAACAACAAATCAAAGCAAGTAAAAACCCCATGACGAGAATATTTTAAAATTTCCAGACACTTTAAAGATTCCTACTCTACAGACTGCAATAAAAAATATCTGTGCAAAGCATAAGCTGATGGACCTTTCAAACTGTCAGAAACTAGATTTAACAGCAGATTTTAATTATGTACACACACAGTTAAGATTACTTCCTATCAGAACTTCTTCCCCATCCAGAGTTACACAGCACACCAAAGTAAGCAACTGCCACCAGAACTTTAAAGTGGGAAAAGCAAGCTCTGTTCCTCTGCCAGGTATGCTGTAAAAAGTTACTGAAGGGGAAAAAAAGTCCAAGTCAAGCCTTAATTATCAAGATAACAACTGTGATGCTTTAATTCTGCCAGGTCAATTTTATTAATTTTGTAAAGCATATAACATGGCAACATTGCTCACTCTTTTGTATCATGAAATGTAATAATGTTTGTTTTCATTTAACTGCTACTAAACATACATGTGAAGTGTCTACTCTCTTTTTCAAGGACTCTGACAGCAGCCCAAAGCTCACGACACACTAGTCCCTGCCTTGGAACTAGGCACGTTTCTCTTCAGTGCAAAAATTACTGAAGCATCAAATCACCTTTCTAGCATCAGTAACAATGTGATTTTTAAAGACATTTGGCGAGGGAAAGAGATCTCTCACCTTGCCGCAGAAGGAGCAGGTATACTTGGCATGCTGGCTGATTTCAATCTTCTTCACCATTTTCCTAAGGGATGCACCATAACGGGTCCCATATTTACCGACGATCCCGACCTTCTTGGTACGCTTGGCCTGTGGGGAGGCAAACCAGAATGAGCTCCAGCTCTACAGAGACAGCCTTCTCCTCGCTGCTCCCCTCTCCCAGCACGGCAGCTGAGCGCTGAGCACCCTACAGCCGGGCTGCAGCCTCCCCTGCCGCTGGGAAAACTGAGGATTCACAGCGTCAGGGAATGCCTCAGGCTGGAAGGGACCACCTGGTCCAACCTGCCTGCTCAAGCAGCATGGGCCCGGGCACACGGCACAGGACTGCATCCAGACGGGTCCTGAGGATCTCCACTGAGGGAGGGAGACCCCACACCCTCCTGCGCAGCCTGTCCAGGGCTCGGTCACTGCCAGGAAAGTTCTGCCCCGTGCTCAGGTGGGACTGACTCTGTGCATGGGCTTCTGCCCGTTTGTCCTACGGCTCGGCACCACCGAGAAGAGCCCGGCTCTTGCCTCTTGACAGGAGATGAGATATAGATTCGTAGGCTATTTTAACTATTTAATGATATATATTTATAGTGAGATCCCCTCTCAATCGCCTCTTCTGAGGCTGAACAGGCCTAACTCGCTCAGCCGGTGCTCGTGAGAGCTGTTCCAGTCCTCCAATCCTCCTCGCCGCCCTCCCCTGGAGCATTACCGATGGAACGCCACCGGGCTGGCGCCGCTGCAGCCCCGCAGCTCCTGCCGGGGCACTTGGGGCCGCCGGGAGCGAGCAGAGCCCCGTCCGTCCCGGGGCCAGCCGGCGGTGGCACGGAGCGCTGCAGCCCCTCTGTCCCCCGCGCCCCGGCTGCCATTGCCCTCACCCAGGCCGCCTCCCTCCGGCCGCCCGAACCGAGCGAGCCGCTGTCGCAGCGCGGAGCCGGGGCCGGCTCGGTGATGCGGCGCACCCCCGGCCCCGGCTCCGCGCTGCCCCGGGCGCGCCCTGCGGCGGTCCCGGCGCGGATGGCGGCGGATGGCGCCGGACGGGCCCGGCCTCACTCACCATCTTCCGCCGGCGCCGACACGGAGAGGGAGAGAGAGCGGCAGTGCGCAGGCGCGGGAGGCCGGCGCGGGCGGAAGTGACGCGCGGAGCCCGGCGGCGGATGGCGGCCCGGCCTGGCGCGGGTGGCGGCGCGGCGCAGCCCGGCCCGCGGGAAGGACACGCTGCCACCGAGCGTGAGGGGCTCCGAGAGCCTGAGGGGCTCCCTCACTGCAGACACTGCCAAACGCCTGCGTGCAGTCCCGTGCCGTGTGCTCCGCCATGGCCCTGCTTCCAGCCTGGCCCAGCCTGCGGAGCCCGCTGTGACACCAGGCCGTGCGTGAGCGCCAGCGCCGCCCGAGCTCAGAGACCTGGGGCTCCAGCGAGGCAAGTCACAGCAGAAAAGGAGACGGGGCAGTTCCATTCACTCACCTCGTTTTTAAAGAGGATAAACAGCAAGTCAAAACGGACAGAAAACGTGCCCAGAACTGCAGAAAAAGTAAATAATAATATATATGTAAATCAGAAAGGATGAATTCTTATCATAAAACATACCAGCCCTAAACCATGAGGTTTCAAGAATTTCCACATCAGGTCAGGTCTTAACCTGATTTCCTAATTTCCTTGGGGTTACCCAGTGCTGAAACACCAGCCCTGAAAGCCCTCGTGTGCTGCTTCAGAGGTGATTCCCAGCACCAAAACACGGAGGGAAAAATACACCAGTGCCACTGATAGCCTGAGAGCTTTTCCATGCACAGAGGCAGCTACGGCTCATCCCCTCCTGGCAGGAAAGGGCCAGAGCTTCCCAGTACACCTAGAGAATTGTCCCCAGGTAATCGCTGCAGGTTGTTTTTCTCCATACCCACCCTGGCTGCCTTGAACAATGACAGCACTCTTCACCTGCAGTCTGTTTAGTGAAGAGGGAATCAAGGAATCGAGTGTACCCAGCCACTGTGTTCCCTTCCCTGGCTGGGGTCTGTACTTTAAGAGATGCTCATGGACAGATGTCACATCCCTTCTTGGCTCTTGCTCTCAGGGTTTGAACACCAACATTTTTAATTCCCTCTGTCATGCCAGGCTTCTCATTCCCTGATCATCCCTGCAAGCTCTTCTGGGAGCTGGTGGGCCAGAGCAATGTTTGAGATGAGGGCTCAGCAAGACTTTAGGCAATGGTATTTTTATCTCCCTCAGTTGAATCAAAATTTCATTTGATATATCCTACGAATATATCTGCCCTTTTCAGATCCTCGTCACAATGATGACTCACAGGATACAGCTTTGTTACCAACGTATTAGAAAACAGAAAAAAGTAATTTCCTTTGGCTGCCTAGTGACGATATGGTTAAAAGAAATATAAACTGTCAGTCAACACATCCAGAGAATCTACTGCTACTCTCTGGTCTGTATCTACAGAGTTCAGGTTTGCTGTGACAGTACAGCACATGGTCATATCCATCATCCACCAGTGTCACAGAGAGCTCTGGCAACAACCAAACCCAGCCACCCTGGGAGACAGCTGTTCCCAGCACTGCCAAAGTAGACACACATTTCCAAGGGACTGAGAAGATAAAGGACACAGACAGGCCACCCCCTTGAACTCTTCAGCTCATGAAGCTAGCCAGCCTGGGGCATACAGAACACTTAGTTTAACTGCTCCAGCTTATTGTTGATATATTTTAACTTGTTGTTGCTGTTTTAGCATCCTTCTTGAAAACACACAGGTGGGAGCACTGATGCAGGTGTACACGCAGGCATCCAGCCACAGTAAGATGCTCCAAGATCCAGTGAGATGGGTCCTTCCCTTTCTCTGCTGGTTTTAGATAGTGCCAAAAAGATACAGCTCTATCATCTTCAGCTGGCAGGTGCAAGAGGCCCAGGAGTGCTCCATGTTCCTGAGCCTGCTGTGAGTCTCACTGGCATCCTGCACACTGCCTTGCAGAGGTTCTTCAGCAAGCCTTGGAGATCCTGTCTGAGCCTGCTGCCAGCTGCCCAGCCACCTCCTCACCACATAAATGATGGACTAATGGTGCCATTGGGATAAGGCCTGCAGTCTCTCCAGTCCCTAGAAGTTATCACTAACAGCACTTTCCTGCTAGGTTCTTCTCCTCTTTTTCATGTAGTAAGGATAATGTAGATCTCAGGTGTGTTTGAAAAACCTCTGTATCTGGGCAGCAAACCAGCTGAGATTTTATATGTCCTAACAAAGGGAAGGTTTCTCTGGCATTCCTCCAGCAGGGCTGGGATTTATCAACATACAGACAAGATGAATCAAGTTAATAAGAAGCAGAATTCTCCAAGGGTACTTTCAGTGTATCTCAGAAAAGTACTGTTTTGAAACAGCTGCAGCTTTACAAAGAACTACTTCTACAGGAGACAACAATATGGGTACACAAATAATGCCTTTTGCATTTTTTTTTTAGACAGCAATCAGACCCCTTACTCAGAACAACCCACTTTGCAAGTAGAAATATCACTCATCCTACAGGCAGATTAAATACTCTGTGTTCAAGATGACAGACATTTAAAAATGTCAAAAAGCGTGTCTTCATCACCTGGCCAGCTGTTGAAGTAAGAGCAGTGATGGTTAACTCAGCCTCAAACCCAGAGATAAAACATTTCTTCCAGCTGCCCAGTCACAACACCCCTTGCTACTGCTCACACCCCAATGCACCATCTGCAGTCACAAATGAAATGCAGTTCTCCACCCAGCACAATTGTACATGCAGCCTGTGGGGCATTTCCATGACGACACCAGCTGAAAATGGAACAATCAAACCCTTCAATGCACGAAAAAATACCTAATGTTACCAGGTTGATCTTACAGCACAAACATTTTTCTCCTCTGCCTTGCAAGAGAGGTATTTTTGTCAGTGTCTGGTACTTGCACAGAGCCAAGCACATCACCTCCACAGCACGTCAGCTACTGGCCTCCAGGAGCTAAATGTAAGCCTTCAGTTTGCCACCTTTTCTACAGATCAGCTGTAAAACACAGCTAGGTGGGAGATGGAATGCTAAAATACAGAAAGTAGCAAAAGCTTGGGAATCACAGCTTAGAACAACTTATTATTTAAACAAGAGCAGAAGTCTGCCTGTGTCCCCTTCTCATTCACCTGTAGAAATCAGTCAAGTCTTGAAGAAAACACACACCCCCCCACCCCATCTCCCTGAGAAGTCAGGGTTAATCCCTGGCAGTCAGCACAAGCTTCCCCCTCCACTGACAGAAGAAGCACTTGCCATGGAGCAGGTCCTAATACTCAGCATGAGGCCAGAGATGAGTGTGCAGAGGCAGGCATGTGCCTAAAACAGGCAATGCACACTTACTGGCACACAGCTACATTACTTAGCTCAAGGTGGTAACTTCCTCTTTTCCCTCCTCTTCCCCACCTCCACAAAACATCAAGGTCTGTTTGGATCTTTTTTCTTCATGGCCAAACGGAATACCCAAGAGCCAGTCTGTGAGTGAACCAAGTAATGGCCCGATTTGCCAGTGAACAAACTCCTAGAAATACAGACTCTTGAAAATTGAAAACATTGTTAAAAACACTCTGCAGCTGCAGACGAGTTAGTTTTCTCAAGAGTTCTGCCCTGGGGACAGACAACCATTATCTGCTTTTTAAACAAAACAACTGTGGAAGCTGATATGCTGAAACACAGCAGAATGATATTTGCCCATGTCCATTCAGTCACTGGCAAAACCAGGACTGCAAACCCTGCAGGCTGCCAGGTGTGTGCTGCACATCTGTCACACTGTCAGACTGCCTTCTCATCCTTTGAGATGAAACATGCCAGAGATACAGAAAATTTGAAGTCTTTTATTTTCAAAAGTTCAAAAAATAATATGTGATTGCTTTTGGTTTTTCTTTTTAATAAAAAAAATATATGTCTTAGCTGCTATTTTTAGCTGTGACCATTCACACTTCCTCAATACGCCGCTTTTTTTTGGGACTCACTGAACATGTCTCTGCTTCTCTGTCTTGCAAGGCACTGCCAGAGTCAAACTCACAGCCAGCATCAGCTGCCTCCAAAAACAAAACATCATCAGCATCATCTCTGCTCTCAGAGAAGGTCGTCTGGAAAAGGTCATAGATAGTCTTCTGCTTTGGATCTGGCTGAGGAAACAGAACAGAACAGGATCTACATCCACACTGTCACGTAAAACACAGTGAGCAAAATCAGAGGACACTCCCCTTACACAGTGCACATGTGCGTATAGATCATGCTATACATCATACACACCCATATGTATCTCATACATTATATACTCAAAGACATATATACGACATGGATGCTAACAGGTCTCCTTGCAAGCAGCAGGCTTGGAACTTCTGTGGAGAGTGCAAGCCAAGGTGTGGATCCTGGGAGGAGTTGAACAATCTGGTCTGTGACATTCAAGGCAGAACAGGTGTAAGGTCACCTGTGCCAATCTAGATGTACACAAGCCAAAGCCCATTCAGCCTCTCCCAGGGACCACCAATGTTCTTTCAGGTCAATTACCTTAGGACAGTAATTAGTTGACTCAGCTGTTTCAGAGAAATTGGTTTCTGAAAGACCAGCTTCACCCAGCACTTTGATCTTCTCCTGAATCATTGGCCTAGGAGTGATAAACGGATATTACTGAAAGGAAAAAAATCAAGGACACAGCTTCATTTACTATGTGTAGATTAAAAAAGGATACAACTGGGAATAAAGATGGCTTTTCTACCAAACTTTGTTGGTTCCTTGACCTGTCCTGCTCTTGGTTATAATCACTGTATGCTGTCTTGAGATATCAATCCATTAAATTGGTAACAATTAGAGGATTTTGGGCTATAAACATTTGGAGAACACATATGTCCAATAGAGAAACTAGCTGACTGAGGTAACACCAATGGTATGAAGCCAGACTGAGACGATGCAGCTAAAAGGACTTCTAGTAGCCTGTGTGCTCAGTCTCTAAGGCAAGCAATGGTAAACCCCAAAAACAGATGCACCAGCATTTCAAGGATAATTCCCAATGTACAGCAGGAGGAAGAATCCATCACTGGCTCAAGAGGCTGAGAGGTCCCGGCCACACCTGCACACTGGACACTGAAAGATGCCAAGGCCACAGCACAATTAGTGCATTTACCAAATAGCCTTGTCCTCTTGTTCTTTTTCTTGTCTTTAAAAAGATGCCACTGTCCTTTAAAGAGCCATATTTCTTCCCCATTAAGCACTAATGACTGCACAGACAGCATTTCACAAATAAAGGCAGAATTACTGTCATTAACTTTCCATGAAATTTGGGTGATGCATCAGTTTCCAGATCCTTGCATTGTAGGGTTATAATTACTTGCCATCATGATATTCTGGGAACTGCACAAGTTCACTTAGTTCATTCATTCCTTTAAACAAGGTAATAAAGATGTAATTTTGGATTTAAATGAAGCAGCTGGTAGATAATTTCTTGTCATCATTTGCAGGTCAGCTCCCTTGCAGCACTAAAAATTCCTCAGATCCTGTCCACCCCCAGATGTCAGATTCCCCAGTCCTAAGGACTAATGTCCACTGGTAACTCTCACAGGAGGCAAAAAGCCTCACACCACAACTATCCAGAGGTGGGTCAATAGCACCTTTTTAATCTGTCTGAAGGGCTCACTGAAGAGCAAGAGGAAGGCAGCAGTGCAGTCCTCCTCCACAGCTCCCTGTCCGAGCACACAGCAGCCCGACTGCTCATCAGAACTGATCTACAATACAATGAACCATCTCCAGTGTCTGCTGACTTCGTTTACAGAACCCTAGCACAGGAATGTTCTGGGCTGGTATCTAAGACAATTCCTCCTCCTTACACAGAGACTGTGAAGGTTTTAGATGCATCAGCTCTCCCACAATTTCTCTTGAGAGCCCTTTCTTTGTCAGATTACTACTTTTATTCCTCCTGCTTGTCAGCCACTCAGTCATGTCTACTGCAGCCAGGCCATGCCACCAGCTTGCAGCAGCCCTGGCACATCTTGATCCTTCCCTCACAGGCTGTGGAAATCAGCATTAACCCCTCACACCAAGTATGTTACAGTGGAAACACATGTCAGGGGAACCAAAGTTTCTTTCTCACTTCTTACCATAGGTAGTCATCTGCTGTGCCTTTAGCCACCAGGTAGTGAACATTAACAGAGCTGGTCTGTCCAATTCGGTGTGCCCGATCTTCTGCTTGGATCAAAATCTTAAAGTAAAAACATGACAAAAAGTGAAAACTGCAACATCTGAGAAACAGTGTAAGCACCAGAGAACAGAGGATATCATTTCTTCTGCTTAGCAACTCTTTCTTATCTGGATCCTGTTAAGACCTGTATTCTCAGAGTAAGCCAAGAAGTAATCTGGTACACCAGGTTCCCAAAAGGCACTGAACAGTTTTCCAAAGCAGAGGGTCAGCGCTGATGTTGGACCCTTTCAGGTGTTGGCTAGACAAACCCTTAAGAGCTCTGTCAAATAAAGACAGAAGCCTGTTTCCCTTTTGTGCCACCTTCCCCTGCCAGCAAGCTGTGTAAACCAGCCTCACAAGTACAAGCCCAAGAACCTGTGGTTGCAGAGCCAGCAGACATCATAAAGAGACAAACCCTAGAGAAAGTTACCTGCCCGTTATATCTCTTAATCAGCAACATTTCTGCTCTCCAGGGAACATCCCACCCTTGTCCCCTCCAGGACACTCACCCCTGGGTTCCAGAAGAGCTCTGCAAACACCACCAGATCTGCAGCAGACAATGTCAGGCCCATGTTTGCAGCAGTGAGGGAAAGGACAGCCACAGCCTGCTTCTCTGAGAACTGGAACTTCTGGCACAGAGACTGCCGCTCAGCTGAAGATGTGGAGCCGTCGATGCGAATGTGCTCGACATGCTGTGAAAAGGCAGAAGATGCTGTTTAGAGACCTGGTGTCCTCCTTCTTGTATACTCCTTCCATGTTTTAGTGCATCCCACGTCCAGTGCTGCCACTGAGCTAAGTCACCAGTGCCACTGTTGGTTATAGTCCAGAATGTTATCTTAAATCATTCTTCACACTGCTCCAGCATGCTTTAGGAGCATCAATGGAAATCTCACATGAAAAGTTAGACAAACAAGGGAAGTCAAGAGAAATGACTGGCAGGTCTATCAACTCTCCCTACAGTATCTCAGTTCAAAAATGTAAGAGCATCACAGAGGTAAAGGCTGGCAGGGATGGTGGGCTTGGTTAGTCTCATTCTCCCTCTCAGGAAAGCCTAGAGAACGGCTACACAGGGTAACACAAGAATTCACAAGCTCCAGTGCAGACAGTGGAATTAAAGAACATTAAATACAATAAAAGCCATTCAGCTAATACAGAGTGCATGTTGTGAGGCATTCACCCTGACAGCTCAGCTCCCTTGGTGAAGGGCACACTCAGCAGCACAGCAAGTAGAAATCATCTCTGTCACTAACTGCCCTAAACTATCTGACCAGCCATAAATCCAGGGGGCTGTTCAACAACTTTGAAGCTGGAACAGTGATAAAGTTAAGACAAACCAGTCACTTACTTTCTTCTTCAGCTCTGCAACTACTGCATCCAGCATTATCTTGTGATGAGCAAACACCAGGAATTTATTATTCCCGCTTTCCAGTAACTCCAGGATGTACTCTCTACATGAAAAAGGAAAAACACCAAAACACTATAAAATTACGTGCTGAGAGAATACAGACTCTGCTCATAACAAATTTTGAAGATACTGCCCATTTATACACAAACACTAGGAAACAGGCTAGCATAAAAAGCTGCAGTAAAGTGCAAGCAGCAAGTCAAGTCTTCTATAGATTAAAATACAGAAAGGAAAATTCCCTCAGTTTTTCTTCATCACAAGCAGACAGCTGCCTACATTATACTTGGGTGTCAAAGAGAATCAGTTTATTATAACCTACTTGGAAGATGACATTCCAGGCCAATCGACTGAAGGTCATCTATACTTAATTACAATCTCACCCATCTGTATTTCTAACTTCTGTACAATCACAATACACTAAAGTAATCTGTATGCAGTTAAACTTCCTGGGTTTACTTGGGATTGTTTTTACATCAGAAGAAAACACCTCTAAACACACTGATCAGAAAAAAAATACCTTTTCTTGCAAGGGTTCCCACTGACAATTTACTCCAGCTTAAATATCTAAATTTGTCAGCTATTTCTAGGAGTTATCCACATGCATATAGGCTAATGGCCAATAAGAGGCAACAAGGCTCCTTTTAAATGACTTAAATGAAAACATTCCCATGGACTGGCAGCAGAGCTACAGAACCCATTTCTATGTAGTAACTTGCATTACAATCAGGTTAACTGGAGCCTGAGGAACACTTTTAAGCCCATACAGATGACGTCATTTTTTTCTTTGGAACAGCAAAGTTGTTGAGAAGATCAGGAATACCAAACCTTTACTAAAGTCAACACACCTAGGTCAGCAGCATCTTTCACAAAAGTCCTAGAAGGATTTCTAGCACTTTATTAAGACAGCAGACAACTTTGCAGGGCTCATAATATTCAGATGCCCATTACATGACAATATTATTTTAATAAAGAAATCTGGGAGAGAAGTGGGGCTGCAGTATTTGAAAACAAGTATCAAAGTAAACATTCAGAGTAGTAAGCAGACGCCAACCAAAACATCACAATCATTTTATATCTCATTCCCACATTCTATTTAACAAGTGGCAAGTAATTTCAGTGGAAGCAATGGAAGATAAGACATTAAGGGTAGGAAGTGCTGATGATCACAGGACAGTATCATTAGATGTGACTGAGAAATCACACAGTGCACACAGTAATTGGTCCTTACATTCCACAGTAATTGGTCCTTACATTCAGAGAGCTGTGGAAAGTAAACTATTTTCATATTATTACCATATTACTTATTAGAAAGTTATGCTATGACCTAAAGCAACTCCTTTGCAGTCTCAGCAAAAAGGCTAAGGATGAAAGGACACAGAAAGGCATTACTTGTAGGGAAGAAAGAGTTAAAAGCACACCTGTGGTACAAAAATTTTACTACTGAGGTCCCACATGAGCCCTGTGGAAGAGCCAAGAACTTCAGTGGGAGCTGTGAGATTCCTAAAGCACACTACAACTAAATCTAAGCCCATCTCCTAAGCTTTTTGGTTCAGGATTTCCGCTGCAGCAGAACTGCAGTGTTTGTCTTCTCAAATTCTGTTGATGCTTTTAGTTTCATTATTTCCCTGCTCCTTAAATTGAAAAAGGGTCCAGGGAAAAAGGGTCCTTGAAAAAGACCAGGGAATTTGATCCAAGCCCCATACACAAAGTCATTCTAAATGGTTCAAATGACAGTATAGATTTGTATCTGGAATGAAATCAGAAGACTTATTTAGCCAAAGAACCCCAAGAGAAGAAAATGCTTAGTGCATTGTAATTACAATCAAGTTTTTCTAGGCTGACTTGTGGCTATGCTTCATGTCCCTGAACTGTTATCTCTAAGGCACCATCTCTCTGTTCTCAGCAGAAAACCACATTTTACTGGGCAAGAATGAAGCAGTGACACGGAGCTTACACGACTGAGTGGATTTTAGCTTCTGCTGTTCTGCTGAAGTAGACGAGAAGAGCTTCCTTCTCCTGTTGTTTCTGTAGAAGGAAGAGATAAACAAATCTGAGTCTCAGAAATGCCTTTTCTCCTTCTTGCTTACAGATATTTCTGCTGCTGCCAATAAACACTTTGCTAGGAAAAAAAAATCAGCCTAAAAAAGCACAACAATAGAGGCCTGGAGGGGAAGTCTCCTACTCGCCATTAGGTACAGCAGATACTCACACAGCCCTGACACCTCCCTCCCTACCTCCTACTCAACTCCTACCAGCTGGATGACAAGTGTATCACAAATGGAGCTGTAGTTGAGAAAGCGTGTCCCAGCTAAAATGGCAAGGAAAAACACCCAAGTTCTTACAGAACTGTATTAGCAACCTAGGAGCCTAGAACATGCATTTTTCACACAAGGAAAACAAACAAGAAAAGCAAAAATAAACTCTTTGCATTTTTGGCTACTGCTCAGTTCACAACACAACTCAAATAAATCTGTTTTTGTAGGCTGAATGAGATTGCAAGGCTAGACAGGAGAGTAGGTAGAGAGGCAGGAGATATGAAAGACAATTAAAAATTACTAACAAGAAAGAAAAAAAGAGAGGAAATGGTATTTCATACAAAGGGACAAAGTAGACCACTTAGATCAAAAGCAAATCAGGCTGAGCTAGTTTTGGTTGTGCTGTACACTCATTTAAAACTGTGCCTTCACATAAAGGTGTGGGTCTGACCTTTGGAACTCAGGGTACCGTTTTTTCACAAAAAGGTTTTTTAAAATAAAAGTACCTGAAGCAGCAATGGCTCATTGTGAAAATAAGTTTCTGACTTACACTGTCATATCCTTTGGCCATCTTCTTTGCTTCAGCTGCCAAGGCAGCTTTGGTCTTTGCACTAATGCGTTCAGGAGCCACCACAACCATTTTGCGTTGCTTTGCTGGAAGCTGGGAAAGCACATCTGATTTCAGACGTCGGATCATGATGGACTCTTCCAGCAAAATTTTCAGTTCAGTTAAGTTGGATGATCCAGAATAGTCCCAACCCCATGGCATCTGGGAAAGATCAAAGCAGTTATCGGTGTCAAACCTGTAAGACACTGCTCTGCATACAATCCAAAAGCAGAATAAATTTCTAGGGAATCCGGACAAGGCAAGAACTGGATGGTCAGCAGGAGATTTGACAACAATGGCAATAAGGTAGAAGCATACAAACTAATCCACTCAACATGAAAAGGTTACTTACAAGCTCCCCTTCTTCCTACCTACAAGAGCCCAGAGAGGTGCAGGAAAGAAGACTATGCAGAAAGGTGGCAGGAATCCCTTCTCCAGCCCTGTGTCCTGATACTCACTTTCACATAGCAAGGAATTGCTGCTCTCCACTTGCAGCTTTGAGCAGGCCAAAAGAATTCACCGCAGTTCTATGCATGCACATTTATCTCAGCTTTAAGCAGAGAGACACACAAAAATATTCTCTAACAGCATGAGGACAAACATCCTTAACCCAGATGCCTTCACAGAGTTGTTACACTTGTCTGACATGCTAGGTCAGAAGTGTCTGTTCTCCACTGTGACCTGACTCCTGCTCTGCTCCCTGGCATACTCTATTTCTGCCATTACTGTGTTTGGCTCAGACTCAAGCTAAACAGAAATAAACTGTGGCCCAGAAGACATTTCTCCAAACATTGTTTCTTCGAAGCATCATCACTTCAAAGCTCCTCTGAACAAGACATTCATTTACTCCTCCTTGAAGCACTCCTCTGAACCTGGCCTATCCTCCAAGATCCTGTGTGCAAGCAATATACACCTGTTCAATTAATCTCAGCTCATCACTTCTCCTACCAGCAACCCCACAGCCTATCTTTTGTTCACTGAGAAAGAACAACAGTGGCATCAAAATTGGTACATTCTCCAAAAGAAGCATCTTTCAAACGTCTGTCTTCCAGAGAACAGACCAATACAGTTTTAATGCTGAAGCAAGGGAAAAAAAGGAAACCTTTCTGCTGCAATTTCACAAATAAGTATAGGGAATACAGCTGCAGGAATACCAAAGACCAAGGTGGGGAGAGAGGTGACTTCTCATAGCTCTAGTTCTAAATAATATTGGCAGTGTCCAAAAATACAACCTCTGGTCTTGGAATAACAATCCAAAGTAAGCCACTACATACACCCTCCTGAAATGCATATAATGGAGATTGTGAGGAGACTCAGCACCTTGATCAGCTACATTAATTGATAAAATAGACTTAATATCTATATTGATTTTGTCTTCCCCAAGAGAAAACTGCTACAACACATAAAGAAATGGAAGTAAATGAGAAAGATTCACTGCATCCTCCATCTTCTCCTAGAATGCATGAGGCAAAAAATAAAACATACCAGCCATAAGGTTAGTCATGCTACTGACTGTATTAAGGGGTGGTGCTTGGATGAACTGGGATGAGAACATGCTGTGGGACAGGACGAGGAGGAATCAAAAAGCTTATAGGGAAGTAAGACCTCTCTGGTATCCAAAAGTGAATGCTCCTACTTCAGGTTGAGATAAAACAATCTGCAATCCTATTGCCATATTGTACTGATGTGAACCATTAACTGACTTCAAATTCTGGTACTTATGGCCATCATTAAACTCATCTGACTTAATCTATTCCTATGTAATTACGGCACCATCTGATTAGCTACAGTTGGTTCATTAAAGCAGGAAACAACTCAAACCCTTAATACATAGCCAGATTGAATCCTGTAGAATTAAAACTTTGGCTCAGCCCAGTAGTGTAGGGCTAGATCTGGATCTCAGCCAAGCCCTCAAAAGACCAACATGAGTATCACTGCTCTGCTTTCCTGAAACCAAGAGTGCAAGACAGATGCATCCCTCAGGTCCACAGAAAGCTAGCTCAAGTCTACCAGGGTTTATTAGCTTCAGGCATGAAAGCTGACACTGCTGAGCCACAGCCTTTATGCTCCCTTTCTGCATTTCTCAGGCTCTGTGGGCCCAGCAGAGCACATGGACAGAAACAAGAAGGACCCCCCTGGTGCTGTGCCCAGCCTCCAAAGCCCGCTGCCCACACTGCTCAGCGCACTGGTAGGTGAGTAGGAAGGACCAACACGATTAGGCTGCTCTGCAAGGCCTCCTGTGGGGCCTGGATATCCCTTGGGCTACCGCTTTCCACTTAAAAGCCTGTGTTTTCCCACTTTCCACTTCCATAACAAGCAAGTATACATATTCTTTGTGTCCACGTAGCCAAACTGGCTACAAGCATGCTCCTAAGAAGAGCAGCATCCTCCTAAGGGAAAGAACAAGGCACACACAGAGCCAAGACACCATCTACTGTCATGTTAAAAAGCACACACAGGCAGAGTCCCCACAGCATGTTTAGGTTATATATTGCTTATGGTGCTGGAACAATTTGCAAACAAGGAAACATTCTAGCTCTGTGCTGCACCTAGCTAGTTATAAAGAGATAACTACTTTTGGAATTATTAAAATTTACTTTTGTATGCCCTATTGTGGAAAAGAAAAGAGAGAAAAAAGAGGGACATTTATTTTGCCAAAATACACATCTGGCTTTGATCCATAACATTCCAGAACACATGCTTCCAACTGTGATTTTCTTACCAAAGTGTTACAGCATCTTACATGAGTCAGTAAACTTATTACAGTGTTAGCAGAAGCTGCCAAACTCTTACAAATTCAGAGCATGTGCTCAGATAGAAATTACTTAATATTTGCCAACATCAGCCAATTTGAAAAATGAATTCACAGCATGTATTTTGGGAAACAGTCTTGGGACATCTTATAAACAACAGGTGACATTTCACTTGCTGCATTTTTAAAAGTACAGATGCTGGGAGGTTGAATTAATAAAAATGTATAAACGTCTATAACTTTTCTAATCAGATCTGTCAGATATTTGCAATCTTCTGTCATAAAAATCTTGAAACAGAAACTAGTCAGACTTTAGTTTTAAATTGAATGAATCAGTTTTGCCAATTTTTCTTTAATCTTATAATACAATTGGATTTATTATTAATACCAAAACATTTTTACATAACACCTTTCATCCTTACACATCTTCAAAAGCCTTGCAAAGCCTCTCTGGTTCTGTGCAATTCTTCCTCCACTCATAATGCTGCAAATTTCAGGACAGAAAAGCAAAACTTATTTGAGTATTGACAGCAGAAGTACCACAACAGTTCTTCAGAGAGGATGCAACTCCTAACACAGTCTTAGGTTAAGCTACAGCAACAAATGTCAGGGATACTCTACAGTCATGAAGGAACCAATTACAATCACCTTTTAAATTTTTTCATTGCCAAGTGGATCTATGGCAACCCATATTCAGCAGTCACGTCTTTTTCTCTAATACTATCTACATCTCTTAATTTCCAGCAGCCCCAATTCTCCAACCAACCAAATTCCTCCTAGGTTCTTGCTATCGTTTACTGACATTAACTGTAACAAAATGTCCCAGATGAGCATAGAGAAAACCAACAATGTTCAACTATCTAGGAGAGGCAGGTCAGAAGGTCAGACATAGGAAGAAAATTGTGCTAGAAATCCTGACAAGGTTTCAAAGGGAGGCTGACATAGATTGTGACCTCCATGCTGAATATCACTGAAGGTTGAAAAGTCATTTACACTGGACACACTGCTACAACCTGGATCCTGTAAAACAATTTTATTTCTTTGATCCAAGGTCCATCTGCCTCATAATTGAAATGACAGCTACTTGTGCAGAACTTTACCCTTAACAGGGCTTATCAAACTCCAAACCTACTTAGACTCACATGCTGCAAATCAGCTTTCCTTTTTACTGCAGAAAACAAAGAAGATTAAACTGTATCGCTTCATTTACCTGTAGGAACCATTCTGAAAGGAATGCTCAGGAAGGAATCTTTCAGTTTCAAAGACAATGAAGCTTACCAGAAGATGTGGCCTCTCCCTCCATATGATTCCTACTATGGATGGAGACCCAGGACTGATGCTCTGTGATTCTGCATGCTAATGGCCTTTCTCTGATCAGTGGCACCAGCACATGACTACCAAAGCCAATTAAGTGCTCCTCTGACTTGCACACTTGGACATACACAGAACAGCACTACACTGGCTATGAAAGCAAGTGGGCATTCAGATCTAGGAAAAAGGGGATTCAAGAATTTTATATGAGACTGCAGTAAGAATCTTCTTGGTGGAAACATTAGATACCCCAAACAGAAAAGAAAACAAACACAAAAGCCCTACAAATAGCTGTAACTATTTTTATGGCATACACTGATGATGTTCAGCTCTTCAGTAAATATTTTTCAACACTGAAATGGTCATTTGGTGTTTCCAACCACTTTGCTGAATACTCTGAATTAGAGCTGTAGGGAGATTTGAGTCCCTCTTTTGTGCCTATGCAACAACACAGAAGATCCTAGAGCCTCTGTGCACAAGAAGCAACAGCTCTTATCTTAGCAGTGTGTGTTCCAACATACACAACAGCTCTTGGGATGGCAAATCCAAGTACAGGTGAGTTGCCCATACCTTGGCAGCAAGGCAGACATTTGCTATTGTGGCTGTAAATGCTGGCTTCACGCAAAGTCAAATTCTTGCAGTGGTTGGACTCAGTAACTCTGTGGAAACAACTGCTGAGCAGCTGGCAGAGGAGTTATTTTCAAAATATGCTGAGGATTGCATCCATTTTCTAAATTAGAAGAGGGTGGAATACAAAGATATACTTACAGTCTTCAATTTTTTACTTTCCTGGAGGTATAAAATCCAGAATCCCAAGCAACAAAGTCCTTTATCAAAAAGTGGCTAAGACTAGAAACTAGGTTTCTTTGTTGTTTTTTACTTTTTAAAAAATCAATTAGCCCAAATCTACAACTGCTTAAAGGCTCCTTAGTTACTCTACCCCTTTAAAAAACTCAGGTGGGGACAAGATCTGATAAGAATAGGATCCTTTCACCAGTTATGGCCACATTTGTTTGGGGATTTTTTCCCCCCATTTTTTATTTCCATGGCTTTCAAGGCAAGAAACACTACTGCCTTCATGTCTCAGGCCCACAACTGCAGCACCTACACCTCCTCAGCTTATGAATTTTCCAAATATTACTCTGAAGAGAAACTTTCTCTAAAAGAGATACAATATCATGCACAAAGAAGAAGGAAGGAAAAGCCTCCACATTTTGAAAAAACCAGTGCTATTTGCAGAGTCCCAGTTGGCCACTTTCCCAGGGCAGTACCTTCCTGGCATCGCAGTAGCGCAGCCCGAAGGAGTGGAACTGCGGGAAGAAGCTCGGCTGCACAGCGGCGATCTGCGTGTAGAGCTCCGCGGGCCGCGACACGGCTGGCGTTCCCGAAAGCAGGATCACTCTCTTGGCAGCCTGGGAAAACCAAGCAGGGCATCATTACCATGCAGCTTACAACAGAGCAGAACTTAAGAGTCACCACAGTCCTGAAAGAAAATCCCAGACTCCCAGTTCAAGTACCCTAAATGGAAGAGTGCTTCACCTTCACAGGTGCTTTCAGCTATCGCTGCCTGAAGACATTCAAACCCAGTACTTCAAACTTCCAGGGAACAGGACAAGCCACACAGTTTCTTAATACCCATCCACATGCTCTAAGAGAAAGGTGCATCCATTTTTACTACAGTACTTTCTGAATCAGCATTTACCCACTAGACACAACTTATGCCTGGCTCAACTTTTCATTTGGCATCAGCTCTCAGAGGAAAATGACACACCCTCGCAGGTACATCCCCACCTCCAAAATAAATTCTCTCATAATAAACCTGCCACAGCAAGCCACAAGCAGACTGTCTTTCTCACAAAAGCAGAAGAGATACAAGGAAGAAGGATTTTTTTTTCTTACTTCTTTGTTCATTAAAAAAAAATAAATTATACTAGCAAGGAGAAAAAAATGAAGCTCTCTGAAGCAGGGCCAGAAGAAGATCTGACAGCCAATGGTGAGTGTAGGCACCTGTGGCTGGATGCTAGAGCATGAGAGAATAAATACAAATCATGTAAGAAGATTGTAAAATGTGTTGTAGAGGAGACAGGAAGAGGACAGAAAGCCTGCATCTAAAGCAGGTGCTCCCAAGAAGAAGCGGCAAAAATTACACTTTAAAGTCTCCAAGATACACTTCTACCTTCCTACTGCCACTATTACCTAATTCTATTATTAGATAAAAGCTATGCATTTCTACTGCTGTAAATTCACATACTGTAGTTAAATTACTTGTGCCTTGCAATTTCCTACATGGTTTAATGCAGGTTCATTAAAATAACAAAGAGATTGTTGAGTGACATCTGTACCAACAGCTCATTCACATTTAAATGAAAAAGAAAATTAAATTCTTTTATCATTTCACTGAGATCAACAAGTCATCCAGATCTATTCAGCTGTTTCATCCACTTACCAACCAAATCTGGTGGAAAAAGAGTTCCGGAAATTAATTCAAGACTCTATCAGCTATTTATATATAGGTTGTGATCAAGGTGGGACTTGCTTCTCCAATAATCCCTACTAAACAGATCAGAGGGAAATGTGATCACCACCAGGATCAGACAATTCCCTTGAACAGCTAAAAAAGCAGAATAGTTACTGAACTAAGTAAGAGGAGAGGTCAAACCTTTGAGCATGTCAGAAGGTGAAAGGTTGCACACAACAGAGGTGCTGATGCTACTCAGAAGAGGAAGGAGTCACAGAGACCAGAGATACCATATCCCATGAGGAAACTGATCAAGCAGAAATTAGGTCCTTTTTAAAAGTTAAGGTAACACTAGAGGACAACTGAACAAAACCTAGACAGTATCTGAAACCTAGCAGAAACCTTTGAGGAAGAAACTGACACTACCCTGAGAAACCTACTAAAAAGCAAGACAAGCAAGTCCTACAAGTGCATGAAACCTCCAAATAAAACTTGTTCCTCATGGACCAACAGAAGGCAACTGCCAGAAAAAGGGAAACATGAAGGCATGGGATGACAGACATCTCATGTAAGAAAACTCTGGATCAAGCTAAAGCAAGAACACACTCAAAACAGACCAGGGACATAATAAATGCAACATAAACCCAACTGTGTTGAAAGGGTTTGTGCTGTTCTCAAGGCTCTCACTTCTCAGAGGGTGTTCCCTGGGAGCTGCACAGAAGAGGTTGGAACACTAATTCCCCAGTAGTTAAAACAATTATTCAGGCTCCTTTCCCAGTCTCTAAACAGGTGTCAAAAGAGAGGATGATGAAGTTACAGGTTATTTGAATTCTAAACTTGTCCAGCTGCTGTTTTGCTGTGTGTAACTTATTTCTGAACAGAGAGGGTATTCAACCACTGCAAGCTCTTACTAAGGGCTGTGACATGTCTTCTAATTAACTATATAAAGCAAACTGAAAAGTAAAAAAAACCAATAAAAATAACAACAACAACACCACCAACCAACCAACCAAATTCCAAAGACACTAACCCTACAAGAGCTGTGAAGAACTTCAGAAATTAATTCCAGAAAATTTCATGGAACATAGGTGGTCTAACTCATTATCCCAAAGGTCCCTTTCAGTTTTAAAACCTGTGACAGATGGAGCTCAAGAAAGAACAGAAGGAAAAAAAACCCTAGGACGACAAATTTCCAAGTGTTGAAGGCTGACTTAAATTCTGGATGAAAGAAATGGCTTTGATTCCCATTTCTTTTTCTAGTGGCAACTCATCTTGAATAGATGCCAATAAAGATTTGCTCCTGCAGAGAAGTCTCTACTGATCACTGCTTAATTCTTGTTTCCTGCTGAACCTTCTGTGCTGCCAAGAGTGAGCACGTAGCCTCCTTCTTCAAAGGTCTGTAACAACAATATGGAACAACGCCACAGAAAATAAGATTGCAGGGGCTAGAAAGGACTTTCTAGCAAAATCAGATCTTGTAATCAATTGATACATATTTCCACACAGATGAACTAACATTAGCTGCTCAGTTGCATTTAGGCATGAAGTTCACAGAACTGGTGGAGACCTGGTCTGCAGTTCTCATTTACTAAGTAGCCTAAGACAAATGTGGCTTTGTAGCATTACATAATACACCAGCCAGAATTAATTCCACAGCTGTGAAAACATTTACCAAGTCACTTCTGAAAGTCAAAGAATAATTTATGAAATGATGGCACTTACTCTAGAGGTCAAGACCCAGCAAGCATCGATTCAAAGGGGAGTAGGCGAGGCAGAGGGATTATGTGACAGACAAATAATTGAACACACGAAGAGCCTCATTAACATACAATGACTGTCTCTGTGTTAAATGGATTTCCCAGCAGGAGCTATGCCATATGCTATCAGACTGACATACTTTTTTAAGTAAGTGTGGCTGGTTCTGGCTGTACATTTACTTGTGTCCCCAGTTTTTGCTTACTGTGTAATTTTAAACTGCTTAGGAATAGCTTATCCTGCAGAATGAAAAATCTGAGAAGGACTATAATAAAATAATCACCTGATGAAACAGAAGATGTGGTAAAGGGGAAGAGTAGCAGCTGCTTTCAGGAGTCTGTTTCTCTACTTGGACAAGAGATCAGGCTCCACATTTCATAAGATTAAATTATTCCAAAAAAATATAAATACTTTTCCCTGCTGTTAACCGACATCTAGACAGACAATGTGTGTCAAACAGCAGTGATAAGCTATGACTGAAGCAAATTAAACTGCCTTCCTATTCCAAGAAGGAAAAAAAAAATGGAAGGTAAGAGCAGATCTGAAGATGAAGCCCTGAGGGCCCACAGCTTCTTCAGTTTCAAGATGAAGTTCCTTCTCTCAGCAGGTGACAATAAGGAAATGTTTATTTATGTAATCCATACAGATTTGTAATACCTGAAAACAGCTGCTGTTTATTTTCCAACAGAAATAGAAATTTTTGTGTTCCCTCCTCACCTTCTACCTTCAGGACCTGTTTCTGTCCACTATTTTGAATCTGCTCTATGGCAACAAGCATAAAAGGTTTCCATTCCAGCCACACAGTGTGTTTGGACTCCCATAACAAAAACAAAGACCTTTAACCCTGCAAACATCAGGATGTGTATCAGACTATTAACTGGAACAGCAACTCAATGGGAACAATCAAATCAGTAATATTATCGATGTGTTGGAAAGCAATGCTCACAGAGACCACAAAGAGTATAAGAACATTTAATGCCACTGGAATTTTTGATTAGATAGTACCTTTTATTTATCAGTTTCCAGTGCAGTTCTTTACTACCTATTGTCATGCTTCCAAAAAACTCATCCATTTTCCATTGGGACCTTCCCTAGTTTCCATGCCTTGCAGTATTCCATGCAGTTACAGAAAAATAAAGACCATGCAGCATCTTGGCTGGTCAAAATAAGTAGAATCCTTTCCACTCTGGTACCCAAGAGATCCCACTACAGATCAGTGAGAAACTTGTGTTTTGTGTTTCTTCTCCATTCACATCCCTGAGGCTTCGCTGGTTTAAGGATATTGGTGTTATGTATACTCCCTCTCCTATGTTTATATCTCCAAGCCAGCCGAATCTTAGAAGAAAAAACCAAAATGTATAACAAGTATAACACTATTGACACCTTCTGCCTCTGAGGGAAGCAGATCCAGGGCAGAGGTGATGGGAACAACCAGTATGTCAGTATGCTTAGGAGAACTTAGTCCCAAACACGAGACTACAGAAAAAAACAGCAAGATGACAAGTAGGTCCTATTACCAATTGACACAGCTTTGAGCTAGGGGGAAGGACATGCCAGGCCTAACAAGACCTTTTGGTGACTCAACTACAGCCCAACAGTATGAAGCTATTCTCACTTTGATGTGCATGGAATCAAGACACAAAGACCACTTTGAACACAGCAACCTCTAGCCCCTGACTACTGTGAGAGCTGCTGCAGCTGGGGACAAATCTCAGGCAGCTGCCAGCACAGACCTGCTGGTGTGAAAGCTGGCTGACTTTGAAAGCAGCATTTTTGCCACATGACCAAACATCAAAGGACTGTTTTCTACTACAGCTTGCAATCCATCCTTCTCCATAATTCTGCAGGGATGCACACAGACTGTGTGCAAACTCTACCACCTCCTTTCACTTAGGCAGACAGAGCATTCTCCCTCACGTACAAGTCTGCACACCCACAAGTTTGCACATCACTGGAACATGAAGGGAATAAGATATATGGCCTAAACATCTTGCTGCTGCTATTTCACTCTATCTTACTGCTCATGCAATTTTAAGTTCCCCTCAAAGTTCTGTCCACTAATAGTGAATTTACCATAACATGTTTATATATTTACTCTAAACTCATGACAACCTGGGGTAAGCCATGAGGCAGTGAGCACAGCCACTGCATACATCCAGCCATTACAACATTTCTTACTCTGTCTCAAGTAAAACTTTTCTGAATCTCTGTCAAGGTAGCAGCTAAGTATGTCAGAAAAGATACTCAGTGCTGCACACAAAAAATTTGCGGCATTTGTTAATATCAAAAAGATGTCTAAAAATCCCCAATGGGCAAACTTAGGTGACATGTTTAATACATGGCTTTGCTTGACAATTCCATACCATACTTGCGCTGCAATATATACAAGAGAGCAGGAAAAGATGAATTGTGACTGACTGGCTAAAAACACCACTTCATTTTGAAAACCTGTCAATATCAGACATAAAAACTAAAATAAGGCTTTAAATACTGTAACAATGAGATAAAGATTTGAGAGGTGGAGATTCAGTCTGGCTATCTAACAAGACAAATTAGAAACTAATATCCAAGGTATGTCATCTTTATTATCAATGCACCAATTTAATCCAATTATTGTGCAGTTCTGTATAAACACTTGCAACTTACGTATTTAATTTATTATTCAAATGGAGAAGTCAAAAGTGCAGATTCTATCAAGATAGAAAGAATTAATTAAGTATGGATAGAACTGACAAACATTTCTGTCTCCAAAACATTTTAACTTAGATCTGTCCAGTGTCATTATGGACTCACAAATATTTGTAGCATGTAAGGACCAAGGATCACATTTCTTAAGTAGATTTCTTTTTTTCTGTCCCCAAAAGTCAGTTAAAGCATTTATGCTTTAGAGCATTGAGATCCTCATAGGAAATACCAGCAACTACGGCAATTTCAGACAGTTTAAAGCAGTATTATGCTAAGTTAGAAATGACAATGCTCAGAAGGTTGACAAACAAGGTCTGCATTAGCTCCAGGGCCTCTGGTTACAGCACAGGCACAGCTGCACACTGTAACCTTAAGGTAGGGACTGAGGTACTAGAAGCAGTTTACCTCTCAAGGACTTGCCACAGTTCCACCTTTTTCTGGTCTCTTCTAAGAGCCCTACTGCTGCTCAAATCCTTTTAACATAAAGAAGGCAAGAACAAGAATATTATCCTCAGCAGCATGTTTAGCCACACCTCTTATTCAGTAATTTCAAGGTATCATGTAAAATAATGAAAATACTCCCATTTCTATCCCACTGGCTACTTACTGTAAGTATCACATAGTATAGTTGTTAGATTCAGTATTTAAGTGATGAAAGCTCCTACTATTTTGGCAATTATTTCAAATACAAAAATATTGGTGTGATGTGTTGTGGCAGAAGTGACCACAGCATCACTCACAAGGAGATGAAGACACAGCTGCCAAAGGGGATAGTTCTAGAGCAAAAAGGCCTATGTTGGAAAGCAAGGACAGAAAAATGTCTATTACAGCAAATACTTCAGAAATTTTAGTCAGCAACCAGGCAAACAGAATTTACCTGAACATCTAACACAAAACATCTGGTACTGCATGCTCATTGCAGGTGAGATAATGCACAATATGAATATAAAACTCTTAATGCTTTCAGAAGACTGAAATTCAGTTTCAGAAGCATCAGCTCTCAATTCTTTAAGACCAGTGATGTGAGAGCATAAAACTGTAAATTCTCAGGAAGTGTATACAGGCAATTAACCTCTGCCTGACAACTACCATCTTTCACTCTCATATCTTGCAGCCTGCAAATAATTTTGACAAGCTGATCCTTACAAAGCTTCAAGTCGTAAAGGATGAGGCTGTTTTCTGAGCATTTAATCAAAATGAGGGCAAATCTGTTATTTTCCACGATTTTCAGACATACACCCTAATTACTGTATTTCAAACTGCCGCAGAATTGGACCTCCTACTTAAGCTTCCAAACATTTAAAAGCCTGAAGTGATTTGAAAACCAAGAGAAGACACGAGTCAGGCCTTTAAGGAGAACAACCAAGTTATTCAAGGACAACCATCTTCAGCATGCCTTTAAGAATCTTGCATGTTAAAGGTGGTTGCTGTAAAGCCATCACAGACCAGGTCTTCTCTATATACATACTGTTGGTTAATTGCTGAAAAGGAACTGCATCTACCTTCTTCCAATGTGCAGACCCTGCAGTGTCTAGAAACTACCCATAACTCTAATCTGTATGTTAGAGGCTACCAGGATGAGTTTGATTCTTTGATCCCAGGACAACAGGCAAACATTAAAATTTACATTTCTCCTGGTATCTTATAATTGACTACTGCCTGCCTTCTGTGGGCCACCTGTCCCACTAACCTCACATTCTGCCATTTCCCAGTAGCTCTGTACATGTAACCAGCAGGAATGCTCCTAAGCCCCAGCCACACAAATACACTGGAAGGCTGCAGTAAAACCAGGGAAGGGCCCCAGACAATGCCATTCTGACATGCAGCAGCAATTTGTGTGCCGAGAAGTAACTGATAATGATTATTCTCATTTAACAAGCTATTTTGACACCACTATATTCTGTCTACTCTCTCTGAACACATTCAGTAAGTTCTGACATTCCCTTTTCCCTGTCATCACAGAACTCATTAGTGGCAGTATCACAATTATATCAAGCTTTTGAAGTTGTTTTGTTAGGTTTTACCATCTAATATTTGTACGGAAACAAGTGGTAAAGCCAAATTTCAGTCTTGGATCTACACTATTACCTGGATTTCCCCTTACAGATCACAAGAATCCAGCTGCTGGCTCCTAAAGCTTGTAAGTGGAGCTACACTGCCCCAGGAGCCTGAGGTTAGCAATCAGAGCTTTGGCACCCAGCACACACACCTTGAGTAGAGGCATGGCAGCTTGGCAGCGTGCAGTTTTTGTGTTCTTCAGGAAATGAGATTCATCCTGAAACAAAACAAGCATGAAAGCAGAGTCAGTTCAGATGCATAGTCAAAATGCAGGTTACAGAACAAATTCCCAGTATTCTCAGCTATCTAGTATTACAGGCCTTTCATTCAGGATATTTCAGGCATTGGGATAGTCACATCAAATTCTAAACAAAATGACAGGATGCAGAGTAGCAGGCTTCCTGCACTCAAACCTGCAGCTGCAAGCAAACAGAACAAAAATCAAACCTTGCAGGCATGAATCATAAATGAACACAAAAAAAAAATCTGAGCAGAGGGGGCTGGAGAGGGAAGGAGAAAGAGGAATATTATTTCCATAACTGATATTCATTTGCCCCTATGTATCTTTTAAATGCAGAAAACATAGGAGACCTATACAGTGCCAGTTCCCTTAATAATGGGTTAATGCAAATGATAAGAAAAAAAGAAATCTAATTAAGATCCAACTGTTCTGCTGATAGGGCTCACCAGGTGGGTAATAGTCTCCTACTTCAGACATCACCCTCAAATGGGCTTCACTTCTACTGCTATAGTAAGGCAGAATTTAAAGCACAAAAAGCAGCTGGCATCCTCCAAGGGTATATTCTCATCTTTCTGTGTGTGTAGAAACAAGGAGGCAAAGACAATGTAACTGCTTAGCCTCTCAGACACAAGCCTTCTCCCTCCTAAATAACAAATAAGCTACATTAATTTTCCCAGCCACCAAAAGAAGAGAAGAAAAAAGAGGAAAGCTCAGCACGCAGTAGGACTACTATCATCTGTTAAAACCTACCAAGGGTCCAAATTTGAACATATAAACACACAGAAAGAATATATGCCAGTTCAGGGCTGTTAAAAGTTCCAAGGTAGTAGCCTTGAGCCTACAAAAATAATAATCTGCATTTCCACCTTGACAGAATGTTTAGTCAGTGTGTGTAGGAGACAAAATATAAAAATGAGAAAGATCAGTTCCCCTATGAGTAGCTTGGTGTCCAAAGAACTCCATCTATTACCACATTCCCATCTGATGCTGAGAAACAGAAAGATTAATATGTTCCAGTTGTCATGATCTTTGGGCAGGCGTGTGTGTGATGAAAACCAGACTGAGAACATCAAATACTCATAGTAAGCTATATGTACACTTTTGTTCTCTATTGATCCAAGCTGGATTTGAAACGCTAGATGATTTGAATCTGAAAATCTAGAAAAATGCCATTTACTGTGTCTCTGTAAAAAGATAAAAACTGGAATTTGAAGTAATTTATGAAAGAAACTATACAAATGATCAAAGAAGGCTTAATGCAGATTGTCAGTGGAACACAAGCTAAGGGAGATTTTTTTGATGCTTTACCCACATACTTGATGTTGAAAGGTTATCTGGTTTACTGGATAAACACTAACACCACCCTGAAGTCCAAGAGTTAAGAAGATACAATTCCATGACTACTGTATTGACACACCACATTAAACACTTCTCTCTCCAGCAGAGGACATGACCAAGCACAATGAAATCAGAGGGGCACCATAACCAGTAAAAGTGAAAACACAACCCTAGAAATCACAAAGAAATTACACTCTACTAGTTATTTCAAAAGGTTTCAGAGAAACCTCATGCTTGTACACATGAACACAGCTGTGATCACAGCCACAATTACAAGATACTTTCAGTCCTAAATAAGGCCCACTTCACACTTCTTTGCTGTACAAAGGCTACATTTGCAGCATACAATTAACTTGAAAATTTTCATGTACCACTTACAACAATAACTACTTGGAATGTGCTCTTAAGTTGCTTGTCCATCCTGCTGAGGAGATCAAAACTGATGATGTTGATCAAGCTTCCTGTGAGGCTGTCTTTTCCACTCACTATGACATTGGTGCTTCCTGGACTCAAGGATGGAAGCCACCTGTGAAATGCCTGGAGGAAGAGGAAAGAAATTCATTGCATTCTGGTGCTTATCTTCTTTGTCAAGATCCCAAAGCACTACACAGAACATCCTCATGAATACTTAGGACATGGACCCACCCCATCCACCATTAGACATCACTTTGGAGGTAAGCAGCCTTCCCATGGCAACCTCCCTGGTAATGGGAACATCAAGAACAGAACTCAGGCTACAAGGCAGCATCTACTTTACATAGCAAGGAAAGCTCAAACCCTATTCCTTCTTACTGGGGGAAAAAAAAACAAAAACCCAAACAACCAACAAACAAAAGAAAAACACATTACCAACCCCAGTAATACCCCAAAAACCCAAACAAAAATGTGATCTTTAGTGGAAGTGTGCATAACCTCCTGAGAAAGGTACCTGCTATGCTCAGAGCCAGGGAATACTGTGACCACTGCTTACAGGGAAATTTAGTTTTCCCACTCAACAGGAAACCTATAGTTGTGAAACACAGACTTCTAAGCAGTAAACATCTATGACTATAGCAATGTTTACTCCATGGTGAGGGTGAAGTACAACTCATCCAAATGAACAAAACTCTTCCACTACCTCCTCTTCTTAAAATGTCCACCAAAAAAAAAACCCCAAAACCGAAAAAACAAAACCAAATTAAAAGATCAAGTTGACAACACACCAGCTGCTCTATGACAGCAGCTGAAATTCATGTGGTAATTGTCATTCAATCAACCTCTTGAAATGCTCCACACACCAGAGCAAGATATCCTCCCCCAAACCCATCTGTTAGCCAGACCACCCACCATTTCCCCTGTAATTCTGTCCCCAGTGACACCAAGCTCTCTGCAACACTTGAGTTCTGCTGATGTTGCTCTGCGGAAAACTGTCTGGGCCCATCAGGATCTGGTCCCTACAGAAACGTAACCAAATGGTGATGAGACATGGCATCTCTGTCTCTAGGAGCTTTGCCTGTTGAAATCCCCCAACCACAATCAATCCTCTCCACTGTTCAGCAACCTCATCAGCAGGAGGAGCAGTTAAAATGCGAGCTTCTCACATTTCTCAGTATGTGAGAAAGTAACAATGAACTATCCTTCTGCACTTACTGAAAGCACCACCAAATGAGTGAACGTGCAGGTAAGGTTAGGTACCACCCAAAAAGTATGTGCTGGACACCACATCAGAATTTAACACAAAGGTAGCAGCAAAAGGGAAGTACCTGGAAACTCCTACTGTACTGCCCTCTCCTTTTATAAAGGCATGTGACTAATTTACACCATAAAATTGATCCTGAATTTTTCACAGCGTGCTGACCTTAGTCCACAAAAAGTTCTATGAAACTACCCTGTCAATTATTTAAGTTTCAAGGCTGAACTCTAAATGCACGTGGGTGCAACACTTCAGACCCAAGAGTACCTTGCTCCTTCACACCAGCTTCCCATGGAACCTTGACTGTAAAGTCACTCAGTGGCCTGAGTGCCAAAATACAACACTGATATCAGTAAGATGAAGTAAATTTCTGCTGATTTGGTTTGAGACACCACAAAAGCTTGTACCACTACAGTAAAACACATCTGTACAAAAATGAACTGAGTAGATTACAGACTATAATAAATTTCACCTACTGAATTTCTGTGACACATTTTTCTTACATCTGCATCCATCATATACTCAGAAATCAAACAGACCCCTAAAGCAAGTGTCCTAACGAAACATCTCCCACAAAAGCCTCCTGGGCAGCTGGGAGTAGGGGAAGGAAGAAATCAGGAACTCAAATTTAAAAAAAAACAAACCAAAACAACCAGACAGAAATGCCTTGTATTTCTTAAATCTCCTGAAGCAGAATGTAGAAGTTTATTTGCAGTTGCCCAATACTTCAGGAAACCTAGGCCCAAATTGTTCTGGGTAGATATCCCACAGAAGTGATGGATTCAGGTTAGGTGTTGTCCCACAGGTCTTTAGACCTTGAGATTTCAAGTATGATGAGCATCACTCCCTTTCTCAGTAAACAACTTTATCATCTTCTTTTCACCCTGCATTTTGTTGCACTACTGGATAATAAAACACACACCAAGATGCTCTAACAACCTGGTTATAGCACAAAACCAGTAAATCCAAATCAATACTTTTCTCATCAATGCCATATTCCACGAAAAGCTAAACTCCTACCTCCTCTTCCTCTGGAAAGAATTCACTGACCTAAAAGCTCTGGCTCACCTTTTTCTCCCATACTGATCATTTCACTAGCCTGTGGCAACCCAACAGCCTCAGTGTACAAACTATGGCAGTGATTTAACATTACTCAACCATACAAGCTTTCTTGGGCTTTGACCAACATTAATAAAAGATTCAGAAGTCATCAGCATACACTGGACAGGCCAAAAGACATCCTGTGACAGACAATGATGATGATAATGGGGCTTTTTGAACAGAATGGAGAATCCCAGCATCTGGGACTCCGTTCCAGCCAAGGCAAATACTGCTGTGATGGGCTCAAATACAAGATAATTGCTTGAATGTAACTATTATCTTTGACACTGATGAGTAAAATGCCTACTTGGAGCCAAGTGACTTGCAGGAAAAAAGTTAGCAGAAGGTCAGAGGACACACTTTCTCTAGCAGTCCCTTTTCCAAACAGATCAGCTGGACTACAAAAAGAAAATCAGCCAATGGAAAAAAATTAGGCATATCCCATACAGTCAATGCCAAGCATTTTCCCACCATCAAGTTTCTAAATCAGTATAATTTTTTGTTTCTTTGCCTTAATACGTTTAGAAGTTTAACTTTTGCAAAGCACAACACAGTCTAACCATCACACAGGCTCTTCACTGACCCTGTGCACATGGCCAAGCTCACAGTACCTCTGCCCATGTAAACCTCACAGAAGAAGGAGTGACCACCAGCAAGGGCCATTCCTGCTGGTAATAGGCAGCAATGCAGATGGCCTGGATGGTCTTGCCCAGGCCCATGTCATCCGCGAGGAGCAAACGCCCGTTCCTGGAGATAGCAAAACTAGGGAAAACAGAAAGGGAAAGAGGAGTGAAGAAATGGGTTACTATCTGGCAAACAAGATGAGCACAAATCATGACTGAGCCTCTGACGTGGAAAAACCTGAAGTGATCTGGGTTCTTCAGCAAACCTGGATTTTCTCCCTTAGTCTTTACACAAGCAAGCAACTCCCACAAATCTCTCAAAGCCTGAAAACTCCTGAACAGAGTAGTTCAGCTCAGTTCTTAAGAGATTTTGATTTCATATGAGAAGTAGTCTCAGGACCTTACAATTATTTAAAGCACATTTTTTCCATGATATTACTCACATTGTGTTCCAGAGTTTATTCTGGCTGAGCTAAGAAATTATTACTAAAAACAGTAGCAATTTAAGACCATTAAGTACAGACTGTCCTGGACTGCATATTGAAATCAACAACTATTGATCATATATGATGGGGACAGGGACATTTAAACTTTTATCTGTACACAGAATTAGTAATTTTAAATGTCTTAGGGCTTAGGTCCCATTTCCTGGTCCCTTCCCATGTGTATTTAATATTCAAACAACAACAACAACAGAAGAGATGCACTTGGGAAAAAAAACAAATTACCTTACAAAATAAAAAATCATATGACAATTATGTATATACTGAATCACAAGAGGGAGATCAGAGATGTATCATTTGATCAATTTTTTAGACTAGCAAAATACTACTTTCCACCTGACTCATGATGAATTCTATCCAGAAATAAAACAGATGTGTCACCCCAAAAATAATAAAATTTTTTTTAAAAATCCCTAACAAACCATCCTATACCAAACAATCAAAAGCCCAAAGTGCCAGAGTTTAATCGACCTAGACTCTGGAGAAATATAAAACCCTCCATGGACAAGAAGGCAATCTGGGCACCAATATAAAAGACACAATTCTAAACAAGAACTAGCACTTAACAGCATGTAAAAAGGACATACTTCACACCTTCCCGCTGAAAGGGCATGAGGCTTGTCACAATTTTGGAGTCCACTACTGAAAGGTCAGCATCAGGAATGTCTGTCAGTGATGGAGATCTCTGCAGTTGAGCAGCAAAGGTCTTAATTATTGCTTCGGGCAGTGGCTCCACTTCTACAGACACGAGGCTCAGTAACACTTGCACTGCAAAGAACAGAGCAGATTATTAACTGAAGGGACAGCATACAACTTCCATCGTGGATCTCAGGACACAACCCTCAGCCTCATTAAAAATATCATTTCCTATCCTGAAACAGCTCACAGAAATCATGGCATCATGCACAGGTGGTAGCCTGGACTCTTCCTTAAAATCTATTTCAGAACTATATGATGAATCACATCTCTTCCCTTCTTACTTAGACTTGATTATAAAAAACTGCAACTCTGATGCCATCATTCAGAGACGATTGCTACTAATACAGCTGGAGCTGGATTATTCATGCTGAGGGCAGCTTAGGGCACACTTTAGTCAGAAATGAAGTACAGATTTGAACAACAGAGCTCCTGAAGCCTAGAAAGCAGGGGCATCTTTACCTTGACCTTGGGATTCTATTCCTCTGGGGTTTCCACCATGCCAAAACCATCAGAAGTGACCCAAGACAGTCACCTAAAGAATATAATTAATCTTGAATTTTGAAAATCCTCTTTTCCTGCTGTTCCCTGAATTCACACAGTTGGGTTCTGCCTCCACTTTACCATGCTTATTTACCACATTGGGTAAGAAAACAGGAAGCACCTCAAGAATCAGAGAAACAGCTCTTGTATCATCAGCAGCAGCATTCCAACAGCCATCCTTCAGGACCTACAGCCTGCTCAGCTGGTGGCCACTGCTCTTCTCCTGGACAGAAGTAGCTTACAGGCCAGAACCAGCTTACAGGCAGCTACTTCAGCTCCTCAGTACTAGTGTCCCTTCACCCACGAAGGCTCACAACTTCTCAGTTCAACTAAAGGGATCTCCAGAATCCATTATACCAAGACCTCAGAGCCTTCACCTTTTCAACCCACACATCATAACAACCAGAGCATCTAGCCAATTCTCCTCCTGGGCAACCTTATTTTAGTCCTCTCCAGCAACCTCTCTATCCCATCCCCCACAAAAATAAGTGTTTCTTTTTAATCCAACAGTTAAATTCTAAGCAAATTAACATCAGTTTTAAACATGCAGTGAGCTGTGACCAGGAAAACTCATTTAATAATTTTTGTCCAGTGACTATGAAATCAAAGACACCTCTACACTAGGAACACAAATGCAGGTGCACAAATTTTTACTGCAGGAAGCAATTTCCATTTTTTTCTTTAGTAGCCACTTTGTGTATGAAGTCCAGAAGACAAAAAAAATCTGCTTGGAAAAATAACTAAAATAAGAGCTCACTATAGCAGCAGTAAATGCACTAGAATTCAGTTAGGTATTTTTGTTTCAGTCATCTCCAAGAGGAAAACAGCAGGATGGACCCCTGCCATATAAAGGGCGAAATCAATTCCAAGAAATATACATATGAAAAGATTTCCATTTGTGGTTGGGCAATGACCAAACTTTTTAAACTCTCTGGTTTAATTTATGCTTCTTCAATAGCAGGAACTCTCTCCATCCAAAGAACAGCACAAGCTTGTTATTACACTCACAGACTGAGCTGAGTGTTGGCATAATTGCTACAATTTGCTCACTGATAATTCTGTTGCTATTGTTCTGTACATGAGCTGGGAGAGTGATTAAGATATATCTGCCACCAGCATGATTCATCCAACAGACAGTTTTTAGTGAAGTGACCTTTATATAAAGATGACTGAGCAACTAGGCAAAGAGACATTAACCTCTACAAACAGCTCTCAGCTAACAGATCTCTCTGCTGGAAATGGCAACCAGCCTAAATTCTCTTTTTTTAATTTTGATGTAGGCAAATGAACAGGCAACAAAGCAAATGCTGTTCCTCTAAAAGGCACGTGCTGGAATCCTCAAATGCCCTCACAAATTACACTCTGCAAGATTCATGGAATTATTTTCCTTTCCTCAGATCTGTGGGATTCTGAATACCTCATGTAAAGTGTACAACTCCCAGCCAGCGTGACTGATCCTATGACAGACTAGGAGGTGATGTGTCTGCTCAGGCTGCCTGGCACATGCTACAGGATCAGGCCCTTTGCATGTACAAAAGGCCTTCTGACCAAATTGTGAGTGATCATCAGCACTCACCAAAATCAGGAATGTCAACATCCCAACCCTACAGTTTCATAACAGTCTCCTCCAAGACACACTCACTTGTTTTCAAGACCTGGCCTTCCTACATGGCCCCACCATATGGCCTTCAGCCCTACAACCATTACTAATGTTGTTAAGATACGCATCATAGAAGCAGGCACTTACTTAATTACTAAACACACTCTGGTATCCCATACTGGAGAGCAAGTACTCTGAGAAACAGCATTTCAGCTCTGAAACACAATTCCTAAGGATGTGCATAGAGCACCTGGCTCATTATCCTTCTGAAACTTACCCCAACCAAATTCCACAGCCACAAACCCTCACATGAGCACCGAAGCGAACACAGCATGCTGACTGGGATGAAAAATAACAGCTACAATCCATAGGACTTGTGTAATGCTATTCATCTCAAAGCACTCTATAAACTTCATTAAACATAAAAACCCAAGAAGCAGATGTGCTAGAAGCAAGCTGCAGAGACTGGCTGATTCTGATTAGGAAAAAAAAAAACATACCAAAACACAGGTCGACATTTCAGTTTGGCAAGTCACAGTTCCAGCAGTATTACACAGATACATAAAGGCAAAAGACAACAGTCAGAAACTGATGCACAGGAAGTTCTCCTTCACTGGAGAACACAGCTACTCACTTAGTTTGGGGTAATCCTCCAGCAGGAAATTCCACTTTCTGGTATTCATATCTGCAATAGTTACAAACACTGCCATAAGTCTCTTTTAAAAAAAGACTGAGTTCTCTGCCCGTTTTAGAAGACCTATCACCCTGATCAAAATCAATTATCTATTTGCTGTCATGTTAAGCAGTTAGTTTGGAGAAAATTTAAAAGCATGACCATACATCTAGAAATTGTGGTATCACCAGAGCAAGCCAAGATCAACTCTCCTAATGAACCCACCTGCTCAAGGATTTTGGCAACCACTTTCATCTTCATGGCAAGAAGGGATGAAGAATGTGTGCCAAGTTTCTGCTTGTGAACCAACAAACTCTGACTTCAGTCAGTAAAACAAACACTTTCAGTTGTGCCTCTGTACCCTATAGTCAAAGTGCTCAGGAGGGTACAGGAGGAAATTCATCAATACCCAAAATGTAACATCAATGCCAGACCTATCTGGCAGGCTTATCCATGGGCAGCACTTGTGTGCAACATCCAGGGAAAGAAGACTGAATTCAGAGTCAGGTGAAGGCACAATGAGGAGTGGGGCCCTGCCCAAAGAACTAGAGCTCCAGAATTTCTTCTCCATGCTGTCTCTGACCTTCTGAGACACTGTGCATGTCACCTCATCACTGTGTCTCATTTCCCAAATTACAAGTGGAAAATAATTGTATTTACCATTGAAATCTGAATGCCAGCATCAAAAGTGCTCTACAGCTACACCTGCCTTGAAAACACTGGTAAAGCTCCTGGTAAATCAAATCTGCTCAGGCAGTTGCAGCCACTATACACTACAGTAAAGCAGAAGTAAGAGAACATCCAACTGCATTTGATAATAAAGGCAAGAACTTTGCATGGTCTCCATACTGCTGGCAAATTATCAGCACAATCCACCTCACTTACAGTAAATGTAAATGTAATCATGCTGAAATCTGAAATATCATTGGCTAACAGGCTGAGGACATGTTCAGTCTTGGGATAAAGCGCTGGACATGGATACTAGAACTACAAGATATTTCAAAATCTTCACCAAAGCATATTCTCTTGTGCTCTTTCAGAGGGATGTACTCTCACAACCTCTCTTCTGTAAAGCAAGAACAGCCCCAACAAGGCCATTATTAAAAAGCAGACACAGCAGGAGACTCACCATAATTTCTGGAATCCATCTTTTTGAACACCTCAATCACTTCTGCAGAATACCCAATATCGACCTCAAATCGCAGGCGAGAGATAAGCACACACTTCCCTCTGACAAGGGCTGAGGACTTCTTCCAGTTCCTACACATCTTCAAGAGGGACTGCACATCAACCCTACTGCCAACAAAATGAGAGCCTGATGCCAAGCCAACCAGATTTTCTCCTTCCAGTGGTGCCAGAATTACTGATGAAAGTTGATTTGCTGCTTCCACTAGGGAGAATAGAGATATAGAAAAGAATTAATAACAAAGAACCCTCACAAGTTTAAAAGGAATGATGATTCCCTGCTTTCATTCACAGGGACAAAGAACAGAGAAAGCAATGACCTGGAGGAGGAGGTTGGTGGGATTTTCCACAGAGAATACAGCAGGGGCAAAGGGAACATATGATAGTAAATGAACAAGGGCCTGTCCAGCATTGTGACTGCACTCAGTTCCCTCTCTGTCAGCAATTCTAAAATGTAGTTCCCTCGTCCAGGACAAGCAATCTGCAGAAGCACATTTAGCATTAAACTGCACACAGCCTTACAGTGCTTTCACTCAGAAAATCACAGGGACAGGGGTATGATAATCAATAGCATGTGTCTGAAAAGATGGGAAGGTGCTTCTGTAAACAGCAAAGGAGAACAATTAAAAAATATCTGCCTCTGCCTCACGTCAATGTCTGATAGACAATCCATCTAGGAGCAATGCTGTAGGAAGGAATCTAGTCCAAACTCCTAAATCTCTTGTTACAATTTAAGTTCATTACCCTTTATTCTGTGTCTTACAGTTAGACTTGCACTTCCACCCAGCCATCTGCACTCCTGTCTTACCCATCACCAGCAATCACCTCTGACACAATGCCAGGGCACGCAGGGTGGAGGGACACAGCATTTTACAGATGTTAGCCTGAGATCACAGCTATCCACAGAAATAAACATGCCACTTACCCCTGTGTTTCTCTGACAATCTATACCCATGTGCTGCCTTTATTATTACAACTGAACTCCAGTGGTTTAGGAATGGGAATACTATTTCTTACACTTTTTACAGCACCAAAATAGTGGAGTTTGTCCCCAAGCCTCCACCTCACAGATACCACAGTAATACAAAGATTCATTAACATCTCCAGAGTCCATTAGACTCAAAAGCAGGGGACCATTAAGCACACTCTGCCTTCAAGTACTTGTGGAAGGCAACTTCCCCTCTCTGGGAGATGTTTAGAATAAACCCAGGTGAATCTAGTCCTTTAAGCACTGAGCTGCACATCATGATCCTCTCTGCTTCTGTTTAAGTAGTCCAGAAAACTGATACACAACAAAAAAAGTACAAACTTTAAGTCCAGTGGTCAAGATGTGAAAATGGAGAAAAAAATTCAGACAATTTCTTCCCAATCAACTAATAAATAAACCATTTGGGTATCATCCAACCTTGTTTTAAAATAAGTGACTTCCTGAATAAATCCAAGCATTTGAGATTTCTACTCCAAATAAAAAGTTTAAGAGTACCCACTGAAAATAATTTTTAAATTACAGGGACTGGAAAACACCAATTTATACCTTCTCCTCCCAATGCACCAAGGAAAAGATTTCAGATGCTACTGGTTTAGCATTGTGTAGTTAGAGGTCACCTCTACAACTAAAACTGAAAGAAACTAGGGAGGAAAAAAGCATATTTTACTCTTTTATTTCAACATTTGTTTCTAGGCTTGACTGCATGTTTAATTTACAGTACAAGGGGAAAAAAAGGTGACACAGGATGACATTATTCAGAAAAACTAAATTACAAGTGGGAACTTTAAAAGTAATTGTTTTACACTTTCACTCTTACATTTTCAAGGCCCTTTTAAGTTAGTTCCCTTTTCTCAGGCTATTTTCCCCAATGTCACAGGCCAGTGTTGGTCACATACTGTCTTCACTTGTAAACAGGACCTTTCCACAGAGTACTCAGGTATTTCATAGCTCTAAAGAAAAATGCTTGATTTCTAAAAACCATTCTCTTCATTTGCAGGCTCCTTGGTACAGAAACTCTGCTCTCATCTGTACTTGATACACTTCAAGCAAGCCAACAGCATTTAAATTATAAATGTGTGGCAACCCACATGGGAAGCTAAAATACCAGCACTCAACTGTGGTTTTTTAAAGTGCTCAACACAGGCCTAATTCTGTTCCCACTGAAATCAATAGTGATTTATCACTCACTTCAATACAGTGTGCTTCTGAAAAGCCTACCTGAAGTGTTTGCCTCTATAATCTCTCAATCTTTCCAGAATAACATGACAGGAGAGGAAAAAAAAGACAAACCCACTCTTGCTATACCAAAAAAAAAGGCAAATTCCTTTTCAGTCTCACTCAAAACCCCAGAGAACCACCCTTTATCCTTTTCTGAAACACAAAATGAACAATATGTTTATATATTATATGTTTATATAAGAGCTATTTTAAAAGAAAATACATTAATGGACCCAGAAATTAAGCATCAGCCACTGGAACACACTCAGTTTTCAAAACAAATTCAAAACAAGTACCAGCACAGCAGATAATTTTCCTATTATCTTGTTGGTTGATGAAAAATTCTATGGTGGAGAAAGTGCAACCTGTGCTTGGTATTTAGATTACATGAAAAATTAAATTATTTCTAATCAACTACAAGCCATCAGAAAAATGTTATGAGTTAGATGCCTAAAAGATGGGCATTATCTTTAAGTAAAACTGCTTTTATTACTCAAGACACTAACAAAGCAAAATAATAACAATAATAAAACAATAATATGGAAAACATGGGAAGGAGGGGGTGTCAAGATTCTGCTTGTTTTTTATCATTCAACATTTACTTACAGACACTGCTGTAATCGCCCATGCTGAAATTCCATTTCTTCATAGCAGGATCTAAAGTAGGGCAAGAGTAATAGGGTAGAATATGAATCATTTGGGGCAGAAAAAAAGTGGTGGCATGAAATGTTCATGTGAGGTAAGAGCATTCAACCTACTCATGCAAACTTTTTGCCACACATCTGAAAAACACTTACACCCAAGTTTACAGCTACATGACAACAGAAAAATCCATGAGGAATATGAATACTAAGACAACAATGCAACAGCCATCCACAGGGATCAGCAACATATGAGGGAAAACAAAAAAAGAATATAACAAAGATAATGATAAAAGATCAGATTCCACTGCTCTCTGTAACCCAGGAAACAGAATCAGCTCATAACTCTGAACTACAGCTGAAGTGACCCATTTTCACATCCCAGTTTATGAATAACTTTGCTTCCTTCACTTCCAACAAACTGACCAGCTGCTGCCACTAAACTTCTCAGAGCACTGCTCATAAAGCAAGTCTTCAGACTTCTCTAAATCCAAGCTCAAGGTATTTATGTCCAGAATTTCTATCCACTTTAATTTGTATTTACTCCTTTAATCCCCCATTAATGCCACATATTCCACCCCAGCAACAGGTACACTGGGAAGAGGAAGTAGCAACTACAAAAGCAGCAGATGCCAAAACTTCAACCCAATTTAAAACAGAGATAAAGAAAACAAACAATTCTTACCATAGGCTTTGCTTGGTACCTTCTTAAACACAGCAATAAGTTCAGCATTGTACCCTATTTCAACCTGGAATCGGTCTTCCCCATATTTCACGCATTTTCCTTTTGTAACATTAATTGCTTTTTTATGAGAGGCAGCTTCAAAGGCAGAGCCCACACCAGCAGAGCTGGTCAGCTTCTGCATCCCACCAGTGGCCTGAGAGACAAAACCTCCCCCTGTTCTTTCTGTCAGTCCGTTTATGCTCATCAGCATTTCTGAATCGCTCAGGGCGGCACTGCTTGGTGGTGAGACGTATTTAACGGCAGATTTGCTCTGAGTGTGTAAATCTTTACTACCGTCAGGGTGCCCGTTATCAGTGAATCTTGGATGAGGTGGTCCTGTGGGGTTTTTGAAAGCTGGGTAGCATTTGGGCTGCTGGAATGTTCCATGATTAACTGAAGTGTGTTGTCCATGTTCCTGACTACCAGCATCCAAGTAATGTTTATGGGAATAACTCAGAGAATTCGGGGTCATGGCAGGGAACTGCTTTAGGCCACTTGCTTGTTCGGAGTCCTCTGAACAACTCTTTTGCTGCTCTCTGTGCGAGCCAGCCATCTGTTGCTTTGCGGTGTAAGGGTTATAGCCTTTCTGGAGACAGCTCCTCTGCTCCACAGGCGTGTTTGGATTGTGTCGGTGCTGGCTGGCGAGCCCGACATGATTGTTTTCCTCCTTTGAGCTTGCCGGATTGCCCAGCCTCTGCTCTCCCAGCGGAGGTGCAGCGATGCCCACGTGCCCAGCTCCCTGGGCTGCCAGCCTCTCCGCTCTCCTAGCCAAAGCCAGCCGGCGGTTCTCTTCAATCCTTCTCTTCTGCTCCTCTGTAAGGCCTGATGACATCTTCAACAATTCCAACAACAAATCTGTACCAAAACTACATTGGGAATTAATCACAGAGGCAACTGCTTCTTTAGAGGAAAAGAGGCCAGTCTACAGGAAAAAAAAAAATTATTATTGTATTGATAACTTAGCATTATTAGTGATGTGAGTATTACTGTAACTAATCCTACATGAATCTGGCAGTTCAGCAAAGCTGCCACACAAATGCTGAGCCATTATCAGCTAGTAGATGGTGGCAGACACTGATGAGGCCTTGCATGCCAGTCCTGCAGGGATAAAACATATGGAAAAAAGAGAAAATTCCTATTCAAAACCTGCTCTGAGTACTCTTCTCTGCCATTGCCAGCCGAACTAATAAAATAGCAAAGCACGGGAACACCCTGCACTGCAGAGCCAGCCCTGCAAAGGCACCTGGAAGCAAAGGATTACATCCCTGCACAGTCTTTGGTGTTAGCGTGTCCCATTTCGGGTACCTTTTAGCAAAGATGGGACGATGCCCATCTTCCCTGTTCACCTTCGGTTCCTGGGTATCTCACAGAGCGTGGCAGATACCTGCTGAACCCCACAGGACAGAGCCAGCTCCTCCTGAGAAACCTGCATTCGCAGGTCCCGGACCTTCAAACAGAAGCGAGGAGCTGGCTCCCGTCACTTCTCCCGGCAGCCCGCCTCGCTCCATGCGCTCGCTGCCCGTGTCCTGCGGGATGCCCGCTCCCTCCGTTCCTCAGCTTCCTGCGGGCGGTGGGGCTCACCCTCTGCCCCCTCCTCTCCCAGGAGCCGCGCAGGCTCCCGTCCCAAACTCCACGGCGGTCCCGACCCGTCCCTCGGGCCCCCCTGCCACCCCCGTGGACCCGAAGGTCAGGATTTCTTCCCCGCGCGCCCCGCGGCTCCGCCGCCCGCTCACCGCCGGCGGGCACGGCCCAGAGTGCCGTGGAGGGACTACAGCTCCCAGCAGGCCCTGCGCTACCGCCCGGTGGCACGGAGCGGCCAGGAGTGCACAGCACGCCGGGAGATAAGAGTGGCGCGCGGGGCGCGCGGGGCATTGGGAAATGTAGTCTTCCGGTCGCGGCGCCATCTCGGGGGTTCGGGGGTTGCGGCGTTCCGGGGAGGGAGCCGGGACCCCGGGGCCGCCCTTGTCACCCATTCGGGCGTGCGGGGACTCTGGTGCCGGTCCCTGGCTGAAGCCTTGCCCAGCCAGCTCCTAGCGCTGTACGGCCTGGGCGGACCCTCTGGCTGGCTACCGCTGGTGTGTGGGTCTGACGCGCCAGTGTGTGGTGTTGCTGAATGGTGACTGAGGAGGAATGGACAGCGGAGCTGATGTGTGAGAACGGGTGGCGGCACTTGTCAGCACTGAGGAGGAATCTGCCCCCGGGGTTAGGAGCAGCAGCTGGCATTGGTGCAAGCTGCTATTTTGTCATTTTTTTAATATCGATGGTAGGTTGGAAAATAATCTCTGAGATCATCGAGTCCAGCCTATGACCAAACACCACCATGTCAACCGCACCATGGCACTGAGTGCTACGTTCAGTCTTTCCTTAAACATCTCCAGGGATGGTGACTCCAGCACCTCCCTGGGCAGCCCATTCCAGTGTCTAATCACCTGTTCTGTGAAGAAATTCTTCTAATGTCCCACCTTAACCTCACCTGGTGCCGTTTGAGATTATGTCCTCTCATCCTGTCCCTGGCTGCCTGGGAGAAGAGCCCTATCTCCATTAGCTGCAATCTCTTTTCAGGTGGTTTCAGAGAGTGGTAAGGTCTCCCCTGAGCCTCCTTTTCTCCAGGCTGGACACCCCCAGCTCCCCCAGCTGCTCCTCAGCTGCTCCAGACCCATCACAGCTCTGTTGCCCTGGTCTGGGCTCACTCCAGCACCTCAGTGTCCTTCCTGAGGTGAGGGGCTCAGGAATGGTCACAGCACTCAAGATGTGGCCTCACCGGTGCTGCATACAGGGGGACAATCACTGCCCTGGTCCTGCTGGCCACACTATTCCTGATACAGGCCCGGTGCCATTGGCCTTCTTGGCCATTTGGGCACAGACTGGCTCATGTTCAGCTGCTGTCATCCAGCACCCCCGGTCCTTTTCCACAAGGCAGCTTTCCAGCCACTCTGCCACTCCTGTAGTGCTGCTTGGGGTGGCTGTGGGTGAAGTGCAGGGCCTGGCACTTGGTCATGTTGAATGTCATACCCTGGGCTCAGCCCATTCATCCAACCTGTCCAGCTTTCTCTGCAGAGTGACAGTCCAACCCAACTTGGTGCCATCCACAAATTTGCTAATGGTGAATTCGATCCTCTCATCCAGATTGCCAATAAACAGGACTGGCCCAACACTGATCCCTGGGGACACTACTAGTGACCAGACAGATGAGGGGATGTGCCTGGAGGCTGGAAGAGGATAGATGTGAGGGCTTTCTACAAGCAGAACACAAAAGAGGACACAGGAAACTATGGGCCCATTAGTATTACTCCAGGCCCTTGGAAAGTGGTACAGTCTTCCAAGAAACTGTCACAAAGCAAATGAAGTAGGTGATTGGGAAAGCCAGCACAGGTTTATTAGACAGAAATCATGGCAGATTGACCTGATCACCTTCTACAGCCCAGTGACATTTTCTGTCTACATGGGAAGAGTAGTGGAGGTAGTTAACCTGGACTTCAGCACAATATTTGACCATGTTTCCCATGGCCTCTTCCTGGATGAGTTGACCAGATAGGCTGAAGGAGGGAGATCTGTGAGATGGGGAGGGAATTGGCTCCCAGGTCACAGCAGAAGGCAGCAATCAATGGGTTTTATGCAGGCTGGCACTGGCAGCCTGCCACAAGTCCAGTCCCTCAGGGAGCAACACTGGGTCGTACACCGTTCAAGAAATTACACTGGAAGAAGTTTCATCTTGAAATGAGAAAGAAATTTTTTGCATTGAGAACAATCAATCATTAAAACAACCTCCCCAGGGACATAGTGGAGTCCCCATCATGGAAGGTTTTCAAGATCCAGTTGGACAGGGTGATAGATAACCTCATCTTGGCTCCGTTTCCCTCAAAGGATTGCATCAGATGGTCTTTCGAAATGCTTTCCAACTTGGGCTGGTTTATGATTTTGTGAACATCTCCAAAATAATGTGATTATTCATATTTGCATCAGTTAAAATAAAAGGGCCTCCTAGGGTTTTAATTTTACATGGGGCTTGATTATACACATCAAGATGCCTTTCCTGAACAGTCACGTTCCCCATGTGGGTAAAAAGAGAAGTAACTGGGGAGAAACTAGAGAAAATGCCCTGGGGAACACCATAACCACATCCCATCTCAGAATTTTACTACCCTACCCAGTGGCTGGCCCAGAGCTGCCATCCTTGTCCCCAGACACCATTTTCTCTCACCTGACAGGCCCTTTGGCTTGGGACACTGCAGCCAGCTGGCTGTTTCACAGTTTATTCATTCTTCTCTCTGCTAGTTAATTAGAAAAGGTTATCATTAAATTGCTTCCTGATTAAGCAGCAGTGACTGCCATTAGTCAGGAGCTTGTCAGCCTGAGAAAAACAAGGCAGGCAGGAAGAGTGAGGCGCAACTCAACACACAGCACAGCCCTGAGAGTGCTGTTCCTCACCTGGGAATCACACGCAGACATGAGCACACCACAAGCTCACAGGCACTCCAAACACACCACTTTTAAAGAAAACCACAGGCTAAGGAGTTATCTGGGTCCAGGGTTTTGTTGCTCTCAAGCAAAAAATCAAACCTTTTTGCACGTTTCAGGTCCTCTCGCTGCAGAGCATGTGTGCTAGGAAGGGATGCATAGCCCCATGGTCTCTGTCCAGCTCTTCTGCCTTTGCCCTTTCTTCCCTTGCAAGCCAGCAGACTCCAGGTGGCTGCGCAGCAGAGAGAGAAAGGAGCCCATGAGAGATCTTTTTTCTCTCCTTCTTGTCACACTTTTAGCTGCCCAGAGCTAAACCAGATCCCAGTGTCACATATGGATGAGAGAGAGAGGGAACATGCAGAGCATAACCCTGCAACTGCTCCCAGCCACCTTCTCCCTGCCAGCAGCAATACAGTTCCAGGTCCTCGGTGATGGCTCCTTATGCTTTGAGAGTCTTGTGGGGGAAAAAAAACCCAACAACTTGGGAAGAGTGAGAAAAGCCCAATCCAAGGGCTGTCCCCAGCTCATGCAAATATTGAGAGCAGGGCATTGTTTGCAGAGAGCTCTTGAGTTGCACGGTCAGGCAGACACAGACAGACGTTGAAGCATTTGCTCCATATGGCACAAGTTCAGCGAGACACCAGGAACAGCCCGGCCATGCAGAGAACAGACCTACAAAATGAGAGGCCACTTGCAAGCAGTTTGCTGGTGCACTCCAGGTGTCCTTTCAGTCAGAACATGCTTCCAGCAGTGGCTTGGACTCACCCTCCACATACTGGGTCAGGGGCAGAGATGCAGAGTGAAAGTCCTGGGAGGGATAGTGCACCCCAGCTGTGCTGCAGAGGAAATGGTTCACATCCTTCCAAAGAAATGTTCCCATCGGTGAAAAAAATTAAGGAAATTAGGTTCTCAGTGTTGTTCTTAGCAGGCGCTTTGTCTCATTTGGATCATACTCTAAACCTCCTCTCATGGGCTGGGATGGCTGACTGCTGGCTTCAAATGAGCCATAACTGCCTCTATTGTACATCTTCTATGAGCAGTAGCTAATATCTGAGTCTCCCAAAACTGCAGAGCCATTCTGGAATCTCATGGATTATCCTTTGAGGGGTCTTGGGCTGCTCTTTAGAGGCCCTACTACTGTCATATTAAAAAAATTTTCCCCATTTCACCACTTTGCCAGCACACCTTGGTGGTTCTCCACATGAACAGAGCTCACTTCCTTCCTCCTGGATGTGTAGCCAGCCTGCACTCTCTGCTGGGGCTGAATTGCACGCAGGGCTGCTGTGTGTAGCAAAGCTATCCAGCAGAGAACTGGAAATCAGCCCAGGCTAAGGATCCTGAGATGCCCCAGCTTCTGGGAGGGTTTTGGTACCCCACACTGAGCTCAGAGAAACCATAACCAATGCCCAATTGCACCAATCTTTGACTAGCTGTGGAGAACTTGTAGTTTCACCTTCTAAAATAAATTAATCCCATGTTATCAGTTCGTACCCAGCTAAGACCAGTCAAGTGGTCAGACTGGGGACATACAGCTCAGCTTTTAAGAGAAGGTTGTGGTGCAGGAGAGTCAGAGAAAGGCCTCTGGACTGTCTGAGCTTGTTCCAGATGGAGAAACCTTTATTTTGGGCTGCTAGGGTCTGACCTGAATAGGGTCTTGTAAAAAGACCTATCCTCTCTAGGCTATGGGGTTGTGCTTCCTCTGCTCTGGTTTGGGATCCACAAGGAGGTCAAAGCTGCCTAATGGGGAACTCGAACCCTGAGGTTGGAGGGCCAGGATGTGTTTGGGTTTGGGGAGGTGCTGACCCTGCATCCCCTACAATTCCCCAGATTTCTTTTCTTAGACAGCTGTAAATCCCCTCGACTTTCCCTCTGCCATTGAGGCACATCAAGGACCATGGCCTCTTGGCCCATTTGACAGCTCATGCCCTTTCCCTGAGCATCTTTGTAGGACCAAAGACAAAATTTGGAGTTTGCTGAATCCTGCTGTCCTTGAAACTCTGATGAAAGGGCACCTGCAGAGGCTTTTCTGTGAGTTTTTCTAGCATGAGAAGCTTGTTCCCCTCCTCTGACTGCCAGCTCAGTGAAGACCACTTCTTTTTCCCTGCTTTCTGGCCACCCAGTGCAAGAAAAATTAGTCACCCTCCATTCTTTTGAAGCAGCCTCTTTTATCTACACAGCTTGTTCTTCCCTGGCATGCTGAAGCCTTCCTGCTCTTGTTTATAGTACAACCCCTCCAACAGATTGCAGGGTCTCTTTTCTGCCTTCTGTCCTTCTTGGCTGGATTCCCCTCCATAGC